TTTGATCAAGCGGAGAGCACCATGAAGCATTATGGCAAGACACTCATGCTCCATGTTCCTGAAGACACCACGCTACTCCTGAAGGGCTTATGCACCAACTACCATCCCAGTGGAGATGGTCCTGAAAAAGACAGCCCAGAGAGGAGTCGGGTCAATAAGGTCAGTCCGCAGTGCTATTGCTCTCTTTGTCTATATGGCTAATTCCTGTCAATTTCACCTCATGTTCTGTGGTCCTGAAATGACCAAGAAAACATATTTACAATGTTAATCAGAAATATTCTTTTAAACAATGTCCATATTTGTTTTGGTTTAAGGCCAACTCTGAGGAATTCATCCCAATTTTTGCCAACAACCCCCGGGAGTTGAAAGCTTTCCTGGAGCACATGATCGAGGTGGATCCCTGTTCTCCCCAGGGTGTGTATGACACACTACTGGAGCTCCGTCTGCAAGACTGGGCACATGAACAGGACCCACAGGTCAGTGCGAAACACACAAACTAGTTCTGAATCCTTGCATAATGCGTTTATAATACAGTTTTGTAGTAGAAAGGGAAGAAAAATGATTTTAACTTATTTTTTTCTGATGCATATGTGTGGCAGAGAAAAAGGGTCCTGCAGGGGGAAGCTGTGTCACTGTTGAGGAGTGACAACACTGTGTTTGATAAGGCCCTGGTCCTCTGCCAGATGCACAACTTCAAAGAAGGTGTCCTCTACCTCTATGAGAAGGGCAAACTGTAAGTGAGGGAGACAGCAACGTCTGAAAATGTATGAAGCTGGTTAATATGAAAGAGAAGCACATCATCTCTTAACATCTCATTCCTCGCTGCTTGTCATTCATTTATTTAGGGACAATGCACATTAATCAACATTACTGTAAATGTGCCCATGTTGGCCAGCTGGCTAATTTTCAACTGCAGTCCTTAGGCAAGATGTTTCAAGAACCATCAATACATTGAGACATTTTGTATTCATGATGCATTCAATCAGATATTTTTCATTAAACCTAATGATGGCTAAGTCAACAAATGAAGGATATGTTTACAGTGGGTAAATTCCATACTTTTTTGACTTTTGAAGTGAAATTAAGTAAATACAACCCTGCAGCAAACAGACATAAAAAATGAGCCTTTCTTCAAATGTTAATGCTCCGTTGTTTTTCTCTCATCAACTTAAAAAATAGGAAAAAAACACAAATTGTGTAAAAGTCTGGGCACCCTACAAGTCAGAACTTAGTAACTCCCCATTGGCAGATATCACAGCTTGCTAAAAATTTTTTGTTCTTTTCTTGACTGATTAATTTTCAGTTCAGAGTTGTTTCAGTCTCTCCTGCTCACACAGCAGGTGTAAGATCTATTTGTAGGTTGTAGGAGCCAACCTCTTTTGAATTTCACCTTCTTGACCCCAAGACATCTGCCTCCAGTATCTGTTGATATTGAGTCTGACTTTTCCAGATGTTGCTTTGCAGCTTTCAGACGTTGATTTTTGTGCTGAGGTGGGTGAGGTTTCCCTCTGATGACTCTTTCGTGTTGTGTATCTGTCTGTGTATCAACGCTGCACAGAGGAAATGGTTGACTACCACTGCTGTGTCAGTTTAACTTTCCTTTGCAGTCATATCGAGGTTTTCTTTGCCGTTCTGCCGAGCAGACGAGCAGTTTTATCTGAAAGTTTCCTTGGTCTTCCACATCACAGTTCAATTAGCTTCATTTTCAGATCCACAGTCAGTTTTTTTTTTGAGCCCATCATTGTTGAGTGTTACCACAAGGACTGACTGACTCAGAAAAATGATCAGCTCTGGAATTGTAATCGGCTTATAATTTCTAATCACCTGATTTACAAGTCCTAATGAGTCAATGAAGTTCTGAGATTTTTATAAGTAGGAGGTTGTTCAAATGTTTTTACATGTGACAATTACTGTTCATTTTTTTCTATGTTTTAAGTCAATAATCCAAAAGGTAACAGAGCATTAACAGTTGAAGCTCATTCTTAATGTCTGTTTGCTGCAGGGATAGGCTTTTTCTTTTCACTTAAAAAAGTAGAATTTGCCCAGAGGTTGGAAAACTTTTGACTGATACTGTATATATGTTTTGTCAAAGCTACAGTGACCATATTCATCATAGAACATGGCTATAACACGTTTGTCAGGGGTCTGGAAAATTTTCATGTTATAACTGTTGATAACTTGGACATGGTTTGCATTTGTGTGCAGCTACCAGCAGATCATGCACTACCACATGCAGAACGAGGAGTATGGGAAAATTGTAGAGGCCTGTAAGCGCTATGGGGACCAAGAGGGTTGCCTTTGGGAGCAGGCACTGGGCTACTTTGCCAGAAAAGAAGAAGACTGCAAGGCCTACATCAGTGAGGTCCTACATCACATTGACCAAAACAACCTGATGCCTCCATTACTTGGTGAGCTGGTGAACATTTGATTTTATACTTCATGCAGCCTTGTTTGAACATTGAAATCAGTTAGCATCAGTAAGATGACAGCATTACATCCAGAGTTTTTGTGTGGTCATAGTGGTGCAGACACTGGCACACAACTCGACGGCCACTCTCTCAGTCATCAAGGACTACCTCATCAACAAACTGCAAAGGGAGAGCCAGCAGATAGAGGATGATGAACGCAAGATCCGCCAGTACCGCGAAGAAACAGCTCATCTCCGTTCTGAGATCCAGGAGCTCAAAACCAGGTTGGTCAAATGAAGGAGGGGTTTTACACAAGAGGAACTACAACAATTGTGTAGCAGACCTACAATTCTTTCATCCTCGTTTTTTGTGACTTTTATTGTTGCTTCTGTCAGTTACAGCCACTGTAGCTCAGGGAGTGGGAGTGGTGGTAGATGAGGGCTGGCAAACATTTTGTACTGATGTGGCCTACATACATCACAGATTAACTGTAAATGTTAACCTCAATATTTCCACACAGTGCCAAGATATTCCAGAAGACCAAGTGCAACATGTGCAACAGTCCCCTGGAGCTGCCGTCTGTTCATTTCTTGTGCAGCCACTCTTTCCACCAACACTGTTTCGAAAGCTATGCAGAGAGTGAGGCTGAGTGCCCAACGTGCACTCCAGAGAACCGCAAAGTCATGGACATGCTGCGTGCCCAGGACCAGAAACGCGACCTGCATGACCACTTCAACAGACAGGTAAGAATAATTGAGCTTTGACTAGAAGAAAGTTGACCAAAAATAATAGAAGTTTTATGTTCAACCATTCACTTTCTTTCATTCATTCTGCTTTACTCATGACTAATAAATTCAAGTTCTTATTTGTTTGGTTTTCAGTTACGCAGCTCTAATGATGGCTTCTCAGTTGTGGCCGACTATTTTGGACGAGGAGTGTTTAACAAACTGACTCTGGTCACCGACCTGCCCGGCAACAAAACTGCTGGGAGTCTAGAAGGCAATCTGCAAAAAGACCTTCTCATCCACACCAAGAGAAACTGCTAGAAACCTCAGTCGGCAGTCTGACTCCTACCTGAGCAGGCACTGTTTCCAGCTTTGACCACATGCTTCACTGCATGCATTTGCCTGCTTTTAGTACCTGTGGTGGACATATTAGCATAATTGTGTTCCTAGTCTGAGTCATGATTCACTGGAGACTGTATAAATGTACTTTAAACATATAATACTGGGTCTTAAAACCTGAATCACACCTCAGAGAATTCTGGTTTGGTGTGTTTGTTTGTATTCCTGTAATCTTACACTTAACACTCAAAAATATTTCAGCCATCTGACATTAGTAAAGTTATTTGATCTGAGAATTAAAACATTGAATAAAGTCATTATTGAGTGTATTTTCTCCATGTAGCATTGTCCCTTGGCTTTATTAGTTTTGCTGTCATATGCCAGTGTGGCCCTTTTAAAAATGCACATAACTTGCTATATGATGACATTGATTATCATATCAGATCATATTACATTACATGACATGTTTGTTAAAAATGACTAAAGAAATGACTAAATCACTAAATAGCGTAGTTACCCTGGTTGGTCTGCGGTTGTGCGGCCCCATGCACAGCAGGGTGATGCACTGTGTATTGTGACACATTCCACCCACAATCATCATTACAATCTTCTGCGACCTATGTCAAGTTAAACCCAGACACGCATTAATGCTACAGCGTTCCTCAGACCACTGACAGTAGATACTAACCACTGCTGACCGTATTCTGTTGAATACGGTTTTTACCTCTTTTTTTCCCCACATACTGGTCAGATGTTGAGTTCATTATACATGTGTGCAGGTCAGATGGCATGCTTTATAAAGACAGATTCACAAAATTAAAAATACTTTCAGCTGAACAGTAATCAACATACATATATTATAAAAGTTGCAGCTCACTCATAATAAAGTGAGCAAATGAACAATTGACTAAGTTAATTCATTTTAAGCAGGCATGTGGTTTGCTCAGACTTTACCTGGAAATTTCGTCATTATAGTTAACGCCTACTATCTGGACGTGGACCAATTGGATGTAGCCAGAAATCCTTTTTCGACGCCACTCACCCACGTGGACCAATCACGGAGCAGTGCGTGGAGCGAAGTGGGCGGGTTCTGGATTGGAGGGTTATCGCTTGCTGTTGCACCGGTCGTAAAGACAGCCATAGTTAATTACCGGAAGCAGGGGGGTCTTCCTTTCAAAATAATTTGAGATGACTACATTTTTCATCCAAGACAGCAGGCGTGTACTTGTGTGTGCAAGATAGTGCCATAACTTTCCCTTACTAGTGTTTGTGAATATTTTGGGATGCAATAAAGTTATGAAACTTTAATTTGAGACTGTAATTTACAGCAATATGTGATATATAAACGCATTACATTGTTGCTCCGATCCCTATTCTCGTCTGATCTCTATTTTCAATTTGGTATCCGGTCAAAATTAACTGCTGAAGTCAGTGTGTTAGTCTACGGGGTTGTTTTGTTCTTAAGCGCTAACCGGATACAGTATATCCGGTTGTAGCTAGCTTGATGGCAGTTTTACTTCCAGCAGCGGCTTGAGTGGATCCAATGAGGTGACGCCGCGTTCCGGGCCCGACCGCTGAAAGCAAGCCGGTGATAAGGGAAACCAAAAAAACTACCAAGCGTGACAACAAAGAGGCTCTGAATCAAGACAAATCCAGGAAACTGCTCTGAGAAGCCGCTGACACTCTTAGTAGCCCCTTCACACTCTGATTGCCAGCGGAAAGGTAAGTTCATGCCATAGCATTGTGTCTGTCATGCTTTCCTATTGATGGTTGTCTGACAGTGAGCTAGCTAACAGGGGGTGTCAACTTATTTCAGTGCTGTTTCCTCCAGTGTAACAGTGCTAGCTTGTTAATTGGAAAAGTCCACAGATGGCACACACTGTCCAGTTGTCTGTGAATTGAAGGGTTACTGGTAAACTGTGTCACGCTAAACTATAACTGTTGTATCTAACTTGGCTATTTAATAACATACATACAGCAACCTATCATTTGACCAGTTCATATAAGTGATTTCCAGAAGCTAAAGGACTCATGCTTTTTTAAATCAGGAGGGTTTGAGCTGTGCATCCATTTTGCATTCATGCGTCATTGCCTCACCGGGGGCTGGAAGTTTCTATGTAGATTGTCTGCTGTTCTCTCCTTTTAACGTGAAACACAAACAGTGTTGTGATTTCTGATGTACTCTGTCTGAATGTTAAGCTCTGGTTCCTGTGTACATTTACACTATGTTTAAAAACAATCAAACAAACAAAAAACATAGCCTATACCTCCCTTCAGTGCAGAGTTTGTTCCCTTGTAAATGTCAAAGCTTTAGCAACATCTAAGCTTGACAGTGGTATTAATGCCACGTGTTTGGATCTGTGCACACCTATGTGGGTGGGACCAGGTGCATTAGTTGCTTGGCATATACTTGGGCAAAGGCCATAACAATACCTGGCAATGGCACTCATAAATTAATCACAGCTTCATTAGCACCAAAGAGCCATGAGGGAACATTAACAGTGACTGGACATTTATCAGAATACTGAGTATGATGCAACTGTCCCCCGTTTCTAGTTGTGGTGAACCCTCTGAAGAGATCAAGCTCGGGTTTAGAAACAAATAGAACAGGTTTGACTTTTCAGGTGGGAGATCATCTTGTTCCTCAAGTTGCACCTGCCACACAGTGAGTGAGAAAGACCACTGGATACAAAGCTGCTGCGCAGGTGTATATCCAAGGTTAAAGGATAGACTTTAAAAAAAATGTTTGGTGTTAATAATGGTGTTTGATGAAGGACCTGCAAATGAAATATCAAATTTAAGGTTTTTTTTTTTATTTTTTTATTTTTTTAATTAAGGACATTCTGTGAACAATCATTCAGTTGATTATATTATTTAAACATAATGTTTCATGTGTTCATCTTTCCAGCTCACCATGGGGAGGAGGAAGCTGCTGCTGGCTGCTCTTTTCTGCTTGGTTCTGGCAATGTTGCCTTATCACACAGGTAATGTGATCCATCTACTTATGGAGACGCATAACTTACATGAAGCACTGATTATAGCGGTGAGCAGTGCAATGCTGGTCAATACATACAGTTATTATAGATCAGTGTTTGGAAATAATCTGCATCTCTGTTGTGTCTCAGGATCCTCTGCCTCACCAGCTTCATGTCTTTGTGTTCACAGTGACTGTAGCTGTCATGTCAGTCGACCTGGGCAGCGAGTGGATGAAAATGGCGATAGTGAAACCTGGTGTGCCAATGGAGATTGTTCTCAACAAGTGAGTGTAACTGAGTGTTTGTCTTCTTCATGGTGCAGTGAGTGTACACACCTGGTTTGGATATTGGAGGAAATGTAACTGAGGGAAATGGCCAAATTAATATTAATATATTAATATGTAATATAATATTAATTAATACAGTGTGAAATTACATTTCAGAGTTGAATACGATGTCTGTTGTCTTTTTCTTCAGGGAATCGAGGAGGAAAACACCCACAGTTGTATGTCTTAAAGAAAATGAAAGACTTTTTGGAGACAGTGCACTAGGAGTGGTATGACTTCTATTTAAATTTACTAAATTGCGCTTAATGTGATGAATATCATTTTCTCAGTCAATGTATACTTTAAACAGTCAAATCACCTCAAAGTAATACCTTTCCTTGTATGTTATTAATGGTCATATTATTTACATTTCAGTCTGTGAAGAACCCCAGAACTGTTTATAGACATCTCCAAAGCATCCTGGGCAAAAAGCAGAATAACCCCCAAGTGGCTCTCTACCAGAAACGTTTTCCTGAGCACCAGCTGCAGGAGGACCCAGTGAGAGGCACGGTTTACTTTAAAAACTCAGAGTGAGTCTTTTTTTTATTTGTCCCCTACTTCACATTTTAGTTTCTCATCATACAATAAATGCATACATGAAATCTTTTATCCATTCATTTGTCATATTCAGTCTTGAACGTGAGTCCCCTGACATCACAAGTCACAGGGACGATTTGTTCATTATTTAGGTGCTACATGGTATATACATTAATATGCTGCATCAAGCAAAGACTGACAAGTTAGACAAAAACACAACACTGGTCTAGACAGAGGGATCTAACCTGGCTCTCTGCTCTTTTTTTCTTCCAGAGAAATGCAGTACACACCTGAGGAGCTCCTTGGGATGATGCTCAATTATTCTCGTGCGCTGGCTCAGGACTTTGCAGGTCGGTTGGCTCAAGGACAAAGATGTATCATTGTGTGACCATTTTTAAAAAATGTCAAGCATATTCATTTCTTTTTTTCATCCTAATCTCTCCAATTCCCAGAACAACCAATCAAAGATGCAGTGATCACCATCCCAGCCTTTTTCAACCAGGCAGAGCGCAGGGCAGTCCTGCAGGCTGCACAGATGGCGGGTCTAAAGGTTCTTCAGCTCATCAATGACAACACAGCTGTGGCCTTGAACTATGGGGTCTTCAGGAGGAAAGATATTGATAACACAGCTAAGGTGCACTTGGCATTACTCCTAAATACTTAAGAATCAGTTTGGTGATATTCTATTGTCAACAATGGACTAGTCTATTTTATAGTCAACAAATCCCATGTGCAGACCCAAACTAACAATGAATGTATCCTACTCATAAGTATTATGTTTGTATTCAAAGTCTGGTGTAGCATCTTCTTCCTCTGAGCCTCAGAGCACCATTGTTTCCAGAAACAGTTCATTCAGGAATCACATCATTGAGCCACACTGTTGCTCTGGGTGACATCTTCCTTCATCAATAAAATTAACAACATACTGTTGTTAATTTTGACTCAGTCCCACACACGCCATGATGCTGCCCAAAATACTCAACAGAGCACCAAATATGTATTAATCCACCGCTGAAAATAGTCCCTGAATAATCCCCTGCGCCATTTCCTCCTCTTTGAGTAAAGTTTGATTTAAAAACAGTGACCAGCTTTTGTAGGAGATAACTGAGCCTGTTTTTGAATTAAACAAAATATGTGTGAGGCTTTTTTTTTTTTTTTTTCTTTTTTTTTTAATAAAAAGATTTACATCTTGAGTTGGAACTAATGGGCTTGGAGCTCAAACAAAGTCACAAAGTGTTGAGAGACAGATTGACAAATTGTTGGTTTTGGTCTTTTCAAGGGATTTGTTGACAATAACAAAAATGTAGATTAATGCCAGTTTTACCCTTAATTATACTTTATAGTCATTTACTGGAGTAACTGATAAGAGGCTGTTATTTAACGTTGTTCTCACTGTGAAAAACAGCTTCATGTTTAGAGCCATCTGTAACTGTAAGACAACAAACTTAACTACAGAATTGCTAAACATCTGATCTTGTTCCCTTTCAGAATGTGATGTTTTATGATATGGGCTCAGGCAGCACCACCGCTACCATCGTCACTTATCAAACAGTCAAAACCAAGGAGTCTGGCACCCAGCCCCAGTTACAGATCCGAGGTGTTGGGTGAGTCCACTGATCCTTGAAGTGAGAATGTTTCTATCAGCATAGTATTTGTTCCGTGTGATGGTACACAGTGGCAGCCTCTCACTGTCGGGCCTGTTGTCTCCAAGGTTTTGAAATATATAAAAACTGATGTGAAGGTAAACAATGCGGCAGTTTTAGACGTATTTCAAAGACTATTCTGTTAATAAATACATAAAAAAATTATATGATGAAATAAATAGTCATATGAGTAAATAGTGTAAAATATATACATGAACTAGCAAACTGGTAAATAATTTAGTAAACTTTCTAAAATTTGTAGGAGTTGATTTTTTTTATTTTTCGTATAGACATTTTAATTAAAAATGCCCTTTTTTCTAGTTTATTCTTATTTTGTAAATTCATGACAGTGGAGTTGTTGCTGCTGGCTCATGTCTCCATCCTCCTAGCAGGCTAGACAACTGACATCAAAATTTGTGAACTACGGTTGACTACAACACAAATGCAGAGCTAAATCCAAATCAACCAACTAGAGGCTGCTGTAAATCATCAGAGTGCATAGACACAATAACTAACTAATGTCTTGTGGAAATGTTGTGCCTGTATTCTGCCTCACTGTTTTGTGTAAAAGGTACAAACACAGAATGGAGGGGGCGTTGTTGTTCCTCTTTTATGCCACCAGTTGAGGTAGTCAGTCAAAATTATGTCTGTGTCTATAGCTGTCATGTTAGGACAGACACCCATTCCTGTTGTGGAACACGTCACCCTGCTGAATCTGCAATACCAGCATGTACATATGATACATGACTGTCAATTTCAAAGCCCTCCTAGAAAATTTAGATCTTACTGAGCATGCCAATGAGCCCACACACAAGGCTGTGGCATTGTTAATGTCTTGGTGACTGATATCACTGTGTCTGATCACCTCTGTGCATGTTTCGACACATGCCTGCCAGTAAAAAAAAAAAAAAAAACACAAAAAAAGTTGCAGTTCGCAAGCGATTTATAGACACTGTAGCGCAACTTCCTGAAGCTTGTGGCCTCGGTGAAGGTGAAAAAGAAATATTTTAGCAAACTATCACCTTGGATAACAAACTCGATTCATAATGAGAGAGAGAGAGAGAGAGAGAGAGATTTCTCTTCTGTAAAATTAAGACTAGGGAATATTTTACAGTTATTAAAACTAAATTCATTATTATGAAATGTAATGCCATTATAAAGTAATGTTTCATAATAATAGAGTTTTAATAACTCATAATGCAGGGTTTTTCCTGGGTGATTATATTTTCATTGTCTCTCCAGCCTCTGCGGGTCAAAGCCACTCACTCTATGCTTTTCGGAACATCTGGGAAGATGAATAAAAACTGATGTTAAAATCATGTAAACGTCGGCTTTAATACACTCATTAATACACCTCTAAAGACTCGGTACTCTCGCCTTGACTCCTCTCTTGCGCTCTGATCCTTCCACTTGTGGCTGAGAACTATTTCTACTTTCAGTCCTGACACATTAACTGTATCTCGTCAGTAACATGAATTAACTTTTTTTCCCCATATTAGAAGAACTAATGATGTCTGCACTGTTTCACCTGTCCTCACAATTCTCCTCCTCGTGAACTCTCTTTTTAAAATAATGTGTGATGTGAGACATTTCTGCAAAAAAAACATACACAATGGGATGTAACGTTAATTTAGGGAAACTTTTCAAGAAGCTGGGTGTGCTTGGATGTAAAAGAGATAATATTCATCTGTAGGGTTGCCACCTGAACAATGGCGGCAACTGGTTTACATTTACTTGACATTACATTATTCACAGCACTTTGAGGACATAACATGAATGAAAATACGGGACAAATTACCTCCCGTATTGATTCAAATCCACCGAGTACTGAGAAAACAAGTACTAGAAATGCGGCACTAAATTTGACTGAGGCGACCGCCTCCCAATTCTCTGTGCAGGAAAAACCCTGATAATGTATTGGTTCTTATTTTCATATCATTTTTCATCCATATGATAATCAGTTTCATAACGTATTATTTACTTATCTGACATTGAACATGGCCAGATCAAATGTATTTTAGTAAATAAGAGTGGAAAGAACAAGGAGAAGTTCCAGGAACAGTCAGAGCGGCAGGGGTCAGAGGTCAGGTTTGAGTGCTGCAGTTTTGCTGACATGACTTGAAAACACGAGTTGACTTTTCTGAACCTTGTGCTTTCTAAAGGTATTCACTGTGTCTGGAGCGTTCATCAAAATGAAATCTCCTTATAATGAGTGTTATTGTCAGTATCTGTACAGGATTTTATCTGTGATACAAACAGATACATGTCAAATTGGAAAATTCTAACCAGGGCTATTTTCTACCTCACACACCTGCTTTGTGTCGGTCATAAACGGTTTCATTCTGGTTTCAGGAGACACTGAACACACTTTTCAAATTTAAAAACATTCTGTTTTAAAGCTCTGTTATGCTCCACTCAGGCCTCCACCTACATCCTCGTCATCTTCACTGTGTCAGCTAATGCAGGAATCAGGAGGTTGCTAGCCTGTGAGTCAGTCATAGTAACATCCTCCAGCAGATAATACTAACTCACTGGTTAAAGCCTCAATGTGAGAGAAGCAGTAGACCAGAAGCATTCACATATTGATTGACAGCCATTAGCTCCCACCCCTGACTTTGGCCCTCTCTGATTGGTTAAAAAAAAAAGGGCAAGTCAAAAACTTTGGGAGGGAATACCTCTGCCCTGCTGCCAGGCTGTTCAGTGAATCACAGAAGCCCCTGACAGCACCTCATTAAGATGTGTTTTAGAGGATAGTCAACGGAAAAAAGTTAGACTGACCCATTATGAGATTCTCTGGGAGATTCTCTCCCATGACTGGGAGTCATGGACCATATATCATATTAAGATTCCAGCATGCTGCTTTTTCTGTATCGGCCCTCCTCATCCTGTCTGAAACTCACAGCAGGGAGATGCACATGTCGACATATCGATTTCCAGCTGGAGTGAAGTCAGTGAGCTGACAGAAGAAGAAGCAGATAGGTAGCCTCCCACGTCTTTCACTGGCATCAACATATTAGTTAGAGCCTTATCTGTACTGTAGACCAGTCTTATTTGGCTTTAATGTCTTGACTATGCCCGTTTGGTTTAGTTCGCACTAACCAAAACATGATGCACTCAGACTCTTCAAAGTCTTTTTGTCCTGCCAAAGCAGAGAGCAAAAGAACCATTAGTCTGAAGAAGATAAGATTTAAAAATATCAAATTAACTCCCAATAAGGTCAATCTGGTAGAAATGTTTAATTTGTATAATTTTTGCATGTAGGTTTATTTTCCTATAAAAGGTGACAGTCTTTTTATTTCTAATCATCTCTGTGCGTCTAAAGCTCCAGTGATGGTGTAGTGTAAAATCATCTGAGGGAAGTGATCCCCTGATTTGAAAATATGATCTTTATTGCTTGTCACTATGTGGACAGATCAGTGATTCCAATGAAAAGTTATCCAGCCCCCCCCCACATTAATCTCTGGGGGGCGTGGCCAGACATTGCTACATCTTTGCTGATCTTTTTTTCATGAATTGTTCAGTGTGTACAATTTGCTAAGATAAACAAAAGCCTCGCATCTTCTCTGACCGGGTCCTCTTGATATGCAGTAAGAGCTGGTGTGGTAATATAATCCCTGCAGCGCACCAGCTTTTGTTTGGCTTTTCTTTATTTCTTTTTCTTGATAGGTGAGTGCTGTAATGTTTCATCCTGCCTGAGCCATCAAAGCTCTCAAAATATCCACATCAAATATCCACAGATAAGGATTAGAGATGCTTCATGTGGGTGTGTTTATCCTTTAGTGTCGTTGATTAGAAAAGCCAGTGAATGCTTCCAGCTCTTGACTGTCAGCTGATTTAGAAAAAAAAAAAAAAAAAGAAGACAGAACCACATTTTAAACCACCTGTATCACTCCTCAGAAATACTTCCTAAGCATCCATGCAAACTGAGGTGTGCTTCTCTTGTTCTGGCTCTAGGTTTGACCGAGGGTTGGGCGGCTTTGAGATGGACCTCAGACTCCGGGACCACCTGGCCAAACTGTTCAACGAGCAGAAGAAGAGCAAGAAAGATGTAAGGGAGAACCACCGAGCCATGGCCAAACTCCTCAAAGAGGCTCAGAGGCTCAAGACGGTGCTCAGTGCAAATGTGGACTTCATGGCCCAGGTGGGTGCAGTGATATGAACCTACAGCTGAAGACTAGACTGATTTTAAATCTTAAATTCACTGTTTCAAGGCCTCAGAAATGTTGCACGTTGTTGGAATTTCTATGAGAAATCATATCATAACATATGTTCTCAGCACCATTACAGTGAAAACAATTTTTTTTTTTTTTTTTTGCAGGTGGAAGGTTTGATGGATGACATTGATTTCAAAGCTAAGGTGACCAGGACAGCGTTTGAAGAGTTGTGTGCTGATCTTTTTGAAAGAGTTCCTCGCCCGGTGCAGGATGCCCTCTCTGCTGCAGAGATGAAGCTGGTCGGTATTCTCTGGTCGTCTCTGGTCGTCTCACTCGACGGAATAAGATGAAACTTTAATGACCCCTGTGTGCAGATTTGGCTGCTTGTCACTCTAGACATAGGAAATAGATTAGACTAGAAGAAGAAGAAAGAACGTAATATCTACTAGACTATAGGTTTCTATATAGTAATGATATGCTGTTGTTTTTCAGTCCACCATTTATTGAAGTTATGACCTTTATTACAATAGTCTTGAACATTGTCACCTGGTGGAAGTTTTAAATTATATCTACTCCTTCTACCTCATTGTAAAATCCAGAATTTCTGAATATGCAAAATTAGTTTATTTCAAAAGAGTAACTGTTGGACACAAGCAGTTGTCTGCAAATGTTTTTCTTTATTGAATAGTCCAGTCTCAGTGTGTGTGGGGCCACAATTGACTTCCAGACTAGCTGTGAAATCATAAATCCTGCGGGTACGTTCAGGTGTGAGACTGAAAACAGCTGTTTAGTGTCAAACTGCATTAAGCACAGTGAAAATCAAACATCATGGGAACGATAAATGAAACACATTTATTTGTGTGACGGGGGAATTTAAAATCTTTAATAGCTGCAAGAATCTTTTCTTTTTTTATCATGGGCCTGAATCGCTTAGAAGTTTTAAGGATATAAGTCAGGAAATAGGAGCAGTTAGAGTCGTCACTCTGCTGCCCGTTACTGCATTTGAAATACTATGTATTGAGATTGTGCCTATTGGGCCTTTTATTCTTATTTGTTGTTGTTACTGACTTGTTTCTTTTCCTTTTTGATTAATTAACAGAATGGTCATGAAAAAATACATAGAAAATGTTAAAATATGAAAAAACTGTGAAATGTGAAATGACGGATTGGAAAACAAATGGCCATTATTAGTAGAAGTGGGCTTTTTGATTATCTGTGTCTTTAAATACAAATACACCCATCAGCTGAACCCATTTCACCCACTGAAGTGAAAAATGTTTCAAAAACCATATTCATGATGAAGCAAATTGAGGTCATTTCCCATCTAAAGGTGTAGACTGATGAAGTGCTATTGTCGGGCAAAATCATTTTTGTAAGTGTCAATTAGTATTCGTCTGTATCACTGCTGTGATGCTGAGTTCTTATCCTTCTGCCAACAGGATGAAATAGAGCAGGTGATTTTAGTAGGTGGCTCCACTCGTGTCCCCAAAGTCCAAGAAGTGCTGCTCAAAGCTGTGGCGAAGTAAGTGTCAATACAGAGATGCTGCTCTGATTTGAATAACTTTCACTTTTGATGCAAATACACAAAAAGAATAACATTCTTCCACAACTTTGATTCCACATTACTTTGTCACTGACTTGGAGAAAATTGAGTTTTAGTTCTGCAGTTGTGGTTGGATCGAGAAGACTTGCAGCTGTAATTGTGTGTTTTTCCTTGCAGAGAGGAGCTGGGGAAGAACATCAATGCAGATGAGGCAGCAGCAATGGGTGCTGTGTACCAGGCTGCTGCCCTCAGCAAGGCCTTCAAGGTCAAACCTTTCCTGGTCCGAGACGCAGCTGTCTTCCCCATTCAGGTCAGTGCAGGTTGTTCACTGCTGATTCATGCTGCTGGAGATGAATTTAAATGACATCACTGTAGAAAATCATAGATGAAAGTTTTGGCTTTGCTCATAGATGAACTATATTAATCCCTCATTTGTACACTGTTATGAAGAATATTTGTGCAGTACTAAAATCAATGCATTGTTTGCTGTTGCAAAATTATATAAAAATGAACACTGACCACATGTAATATATTCCATCAGGTGGAGTTCACCCGAGAGACGGAGGAGGAGGGGGTCAAAACCCTGAAACACAACAAGCGTATCCTCTTCCAGAGGATGGCGCCCTACCCCCAGCGCAAGGTCATCACATTCAACCGTTACAGTGATGATTTTGCTTTCGACATCAACTACGGCGACCTCAGCTTCCTGAGTCAGGATGATCTCAGGTTGGATGGCTGCTTCCTTTCCTCCTGGCGCTCTTGAAAAAGTGTTTTTCAGAACAAAGATTTAGTCAGTTCAACTGTGTTTATGACATTTCTGTTAAGGTTGAATGTGTGATCCTCCCCAGTTGTTGCTTTGACCCACATTCCCTCGTGATTTAGATATATTTGAATGTAAGACCTGTTTTCCCTTTTCCCTGTCGGTCGTGTTTTGTAGTGTGTTTGGCTCTCTGAACCTGACCACAGTTAAACTGTCTGGAGTGGGCAGCAGCTTTCAGAAACACACAGACGCAGAGTCAAAAGGCATCAAAGCCCATTTCAACATGGATGAAAGTGGAGTGCTCCTGCTGGATCGGGTCAGTTCCACTTTTCCATTGATGCAGCTTCTTTATTGAACACTCGCAGTCAAACCAATGAAAGTGTCAGAGTGGCTAAACAACAGCACATCTCGTCTGTTTAATGTTTGTTGCCTCAGCTGTAAAATGAAAGACATTGTATAAGGATAATGGATTAAATTCCTTTCTGTTATGTAAGACATACTGGTTGACACTTTGAGTGGGTCTTTCCTGGTTGCCATGGAGGTCAGTGATGCTTATTCAACCAAAGCCAAAAAAAATTGACTCCAAGTAAATGTGCTTTACTCAAAGGAGATTAATAACAGTGAAAACCAAACATCTGAGGATTTATGAATCAAATAATAACATGCACAACTTCCATGGCATACATTTCAAACAAACTGTTTCTTGTTTTATTAAATTCCTTGAATAATCACAGAATCAAAATGTTTTCATTTGTACCAATCAATCAAATACTCTAATTTTCATTCACAGGTGGAGTCTGTCTTTGAAACAATAGTGGAGGAGATAGAAGAGGAGTCAACATTAACTAGTAGGTTTTGCAAACACACAATTGTAAGCTTAGCCCAGTGTGAGAAGAGTGGCACTTCAGGCTCTTTTTTTTTTTTTTTTTTTTTTTTTTTTTTTTTGTGGAGGCGACTGTGTGGTATTTTTCTGACCTTGAAATTTGCTTTGTCCATCTGTGTGATATTGGGTTCCCAGTCCAGAGCGCACTGTGCACAGGTGGGAGGAGAGAGAGCAAACGGGTAGTTCACTAAGGAAGTTATTTGTAAGTTTTTGCTAATGCTACATAGCAAACGTTAGCATTAACTGCTGTAATCTTACCAGTCTAGAGGAAATGTTGAAAATTTAGCATCAAACTTTATTCCTTTCCTCGCCAAGAGCTGTCTCCAGCGGGTGGAAAGCAGTGCCAATTTTAACCCTTGATTCTATGACGTCTTTTTCTTCTACTGAAGATGGCACGCTAACCAGTTTTCTAATAGCAACTCACTGTAGTCTCCAATCTGCCCTGAATACATAGCGCTGCTCAGAGGACGTATTATAACCTCCTGTCTTGTTGACGTGACAAAGGTCTGAAGTTCTTGTTGAATGACAATCACCACGACCCGCTGCCGGCAAGAAACTGCGTTCAGCGGCAGAGAAAACTTACAAATATTCCCTTTTTTAAATGAGGAAGTGCAAAGCGAGGTTTTGGTATTTTGTTGGAAATTAGATTTTAGACGTGGTTGTGAAACATCTGTTTGTGACAACAAACAACAATCGTAAACTAAATACTTGGAGAAAATGCTAAACAATTATTGAATAATAGTTCAACTGAAAACTGGTAAATGTGTTTTTTAAATTAGTATAAAATAATATGTATGTATTGATAATGTGTTTAAAGCAGGAATGTTGTTATGGCTTTCTGCATTGATCTGTTAAGTGATTCTTATAGTGTCAGTTGTCTACAGCTGATTAATAGTGAAATTCTTCTCTCTTTCAGTTCATTAAGCCCCTGCAGCCACCTGACGGCTGCAGGGCACATATGTTGATAAATCTACAGCCTCTGATTTCAGCATCCAGAGTGCTGTGTAATTACACACGGTGCCATTACCTCGATTAAATTAAATCACCTGAAAACTGAAACCATACACACTTGTATTCTCCTTGTTCATGTGGGAGACATGAGAGTACTGGGCTCATTAATCTTGTTGCCTTCCTGCTGATTCGTGCCACACTAAAACCTGTTATAGTATAAATGACTTATCATTACATAACTGAGCCGACACTTGTTGCATCTGTTTTTCAGAACTGGGTAACACAATTTCCACCTTGTTTGGAGGAGGATCCGCAGAACCTGCCCCAAATGTTACTGAACCTGTCCAGGTAATTGCAGCTATATCCCTGGAACAACACAGTGTCCCAATGAATTAATATGTTTTTAAGAAAATACAGTAAAGCCAGTATGAACTCCAGATTTTACATTTGGGATACATTGCTTTGTCTCCATACGATGGCTGTTTATTAACAGTTTTACAACTAACTGTCGGTGGCATTGCTCGCACATGGCCTGAGACTGTAGCCAACATTGTTCCCTGATTTGTCATGTCCAGGATGAGGAGGAAGTGCCTCCAGAGTCAGGAAAGGACGACAAGGACGAGGCCCAAAAGGATGAGGCTGCCAAGGAGAAGCAGGACAATTCAGAGAAAAGTGCAAGTGAAGAGAAAAACCAGGAGAAGACAGAGGAGTCAGGCAGCAAGACTGATGCCAAAGTAAGATTTGTCACACGTAATCTCTCTGAGAAACACTTGCAGAGCTCACATACACTGTCTGTCTGTGATTCTAAATTTTGCACAGAATTTGGTGAATTTGAAAATCTATGTATGAATGAGACAAGTGTCTATTTGGTATTGAAAGTAATGATATCCCTGCTGTTGAAGGAGGAAAATGATGGAGAGAAATCTGGAAGTGTGGAGCCAGAGAAGGAGTTGGAGAAGAAGGCAAAACCTCAGAAAAAGACCAAGATTTCTGAAGACATCACAGTGGAACTTGTCATCAATGACATCTCTGATCCCACCGCAGATGATGTCACTTCCTCTCAAAAGAAGTGAAGCAGCAATTTTCATTTCTTTTCAGCTTTTGTGTTGTTTTATTGATTATCCGTTGTGATCACTAAAACTTTGGGCTTTGTATCTTTTCAGGCTGCAGGATTTGACAGACAGAGACCTGGCCAAACAGGAGAGGGAAAAGACACTTAACAGTCTGGAGGCTTTTATCTTTGAGACACAGGTAAGCAACAGAAGCTTTTTTTAGAATTTTTTTTTTATCTGACCTTGTTTTTAAATAAGGACATTGGATTTGCTGTTGACACTTAGAGGGCATAAAAGCCAACATTATTCCTAGATATTAAATCATTTAACACAGTGGTCCCCATCCACTGGGTCGTGTACCGGACCACGGCATATTCACTACCGGGCCACAGAGAAGGACAAATTAATTAAATTTTGTTTTTAACCGGTAAAATACTACAGTTGCCTATTTAGGGCTGCCGTGGTTAGTTGTCATGTGGCCGGGCACTATTGACCACCATGTGTTTATTTTCTATTTATCATTTATGGTTGCACTGTTTCTCTGTCCTCTACTCTCTGAGTGAGGTGGGGCTGCACTCAGTACACAGGCACACACACACACACACACACACACACACACACACGCAGACACACACACACACACAGAGCAAACAGCCAAGCAGAGAGGCTACGCTGGACATAGAACCAGGTGAAGTAAAGATAACTGAAGATTGCTGGAGTTGAGGACAACTATCAATGAACTTTACTGTAAGTGCCATAAAAGGTAAAAGGCCAATAAGAACTTTATCAAACAACAAGCAACAAACAGAAAAGAGATATTTTCATCTATTTGTCTGCTGTCTCACGGTATCTTTTGCACAACAACATCACACTGGTTAAGCTAGTCGCGAATTGATATAGCCTTGTAATAATAGCGAATTATTACGGCAACTGGCCCGTGATAAGTTTGTCTTCCTGAAAACACTCCATGGTGTAAAAAAGGTTGGCGACTGGTCATTTAACATAAAGGTGCAACCAGTGTAATCAGAAATTGGAACGCAAGAGAAAAACCTATGATGAAAAATAACATGTCACCAATGCCCCCTCCCATAAACACGCAATACTTTACTTCACAATATGATTTCTCCAGGACAAGCTGTACCAGGACGATTACCAGCTGGTGGTGTCGGAGGAGGAGAAGGAGCAGATCTCTGCTAAGCTGACAGAGGCATCGGAGTGGATGGATGAGGACGGTTACACAGCCACCACCAAGCAGCTGAGAGAGAAGCTGTCTCAGTTGAAGAGCCTATGCAAGGACATGTTTTTCAGGGTGGAGGAGAGACGCAAGTGGCCGGACCGCCTGGCCGCTCTGGAGAGCATGCTCAACACCTCCAGCTTCTTTCTAAGGTGAGTGTGAAGAAGCTGGAGACGTGAGGACTTGGTGTGTATGTCCACGTTAAGCAGGTTAAATTTGTGAATATGCCAAACCAAGACACTGAGCTTTAAAACTGGGGCTGTATGTTAGTTCAGTTGAGGAGGGCTTTCTGTCACCTCTAACTTTTCCATCATTTTAAATGTCAGAATAGACTAACACGGAGCAGAGCTGCTGTCATGAGCTTGGATTTATGTTGTATGATTTTTGTCAGACAATGGTTTTTATTACTGTAGCACGAATGCTGGTCAACATGTAGTGTTTTGTAAGAGACAATGAAATGACCTGCTGTTTCATTCTCAATCCGTTGTGTAACAACAGAAACACAAAAACATGTAAACAAGAAAAAAGATATTGTGAATTTGCCTGTATTACAACATAGTATAAATGATCACAGACCGGACCAGACAGAGTAACTGGCCATGTGTGTGTGTGTGTGTGTGTGTGTGTGTGTAGCTGCGCACTCACAGTTGACTGTGTGGCTTTCTCTCTCATTTCAAATGTCGATAAAGCTGATGCTGTAGCTGTTCAAGTATTGAACACATTTCACTGTGGACAGAGGTTTTTACATAAATGACCAAGAAATGCTGCATGGATTCAAGTCTTTCTCACAAAAACAATTTAAAACTTTAAGCAGCCTAACACGATGTAGCGCAATAGTAGTAATAGTTTTTTTTCTTTTACAGGAGTGCCAAACTGATTCCAGAAGATGACCAGATCTTCACTGAGGTTGAGCTGAATATGTTGGAAAAAGTCATCAATGAAACAACGGTAGGTCGTGTTAGCATTAATGCTGTCACACTGTCTTCACACTACTCTGAGCACTACTGGACAAGTGTCACCGTGTTCATTTGGTTTCCTGAAAGTTATGATGTTCTTAGTCTTACAACTCAGTAACAGATTGAAAATAGAAATTAAATCAGCATAGAGTGAGAGATCCTGACTTCTGGTCTTTTAGTATGGGTCAAATTCTGAAAATGCTGGATCCCAGATTTTCCGTAATGCAACTCGATGGCATCTTTCTTTAGACCCTCTTTGCCTGGTAAATACACGCTTCTCTCAAACCTCATGTACCCAGATCTTAGAAGCTGAGATAACCCTGATGACATCATGAGACTGTTTTTACAGGCTGGTTAGCTCTGCTTGTATCTAGTAAACTGATCCTCGTGTTTCGAATCTCTGTCTGCTCCAGATGTGGAAGAATGAGACAATGGCAGAGCAGGAGAAACGCTCTCCAAAAGAACGGCCAATCCTACTGTCCAAAGACATCGAGTCAAAGCTGGCTCTGCTGGATCGTGAGGTCAACTACTTGCTGAACAAGGCCAAGTTTGCCAAGCCAAAGGCTAAAGCCAAAGCCAAGAACAGCACCAGTTCAGATAAAAGCAGCAAGGCCAACAGCACTGCTGAGGAGAAAGTTATCCTTCCCACAGAGGAGAGCACAGACACAAAGAGTGGTGAGTCGATAAAACATGACACACGCATGGCAATTATATTATTATTATTATTATTATTATTATTATTATTGCAGCTGTAATAGGAAAATAACAAGCATCTTTTCATTCAAACACAGAAAGCCCAGAGGAGGTGCAGCCGGGCGATGCCCCGCCCACCGAGGAGAGCACTGGTCACATAGACTCAGACAGCCAATCACAGCCCACAGAAGAAAGGACAACCACAGGTCGGTCTGCCACACCTGTTGCTGATAATGCCGGAGAACTTTAGGGGGTGGTAAAATAATTGGAACACATTAAATGTGGTCTAGTGCAACACTAAACTACAGGCTCAGGAAACACCACTGAGCTGAATGAACTCCCCACCGACACACACACTGTCAACACAAATGGACCATCGTATCACTGCAGAGTAATAATAGAAGTCCAAGTCCTGAGGCCTGTACCACAAAGCAAGTTCAACATACCCAGGATAACTTTTACTTATCTGGGCTAACTGAACCTAACATTGACCATCCTGGATAGCCTGTACTACAAAGCTGGTTATCAACTGGCTCAGTTAACCCTGGGTTTACCCATCCAGCAATGAGTGCGTTCATGTGAAAGAGGCGGAGTTGTTAATTATAAGCAACATCATCAGAACCACGTATAATGTACTTAATATGATATAACCTGCCCTCAGGTTAAAGAATCTTTCAATTAAAATGGAATTATAATAGTTATGATATATTTATTTAGTGTGACAAACCTTCCATGCAAGCTCTGTTTTACAACCAGAATGGACACATGCAAGGTGTGGAACAGCAAAATGATTCCCCTGATTTATAAAAATGTTTACTGCTCGTTATTATTTATCACTTAATTGTAGTCTTGCCAGTCAGTCTTTTGTTCCCTTCGGGATCCTGTAGGAATGATGACTCAGTTTTTCCAGGTATCTTATTTGTCAGTAGTTTGGCTGTTGACAGGTTTTGATCTGATCCCCTGAAGTTAACCTGTGCCAGAGCAGGTTAAGAGTTCAGTGTAAGTTACCACGGTGATTTATCCCGGTAACAAGTGAACCACTGTTGTAGGACTGAAAACCCAGGGTTATACCAGAAGTTACCTCGATAACCATAAATCCTACTTCGTAGTAGTACTTCATTCATAGTGTACAGTGTGCCAACAAAAATATGTCTATTTTGGTCACATGATTTGTAATTAACTCCAGCTGCTGCTGCAATAAGCTTTAAAAGCCTTACACCTCTCGCTGATCGTGTTCTGAGCAAGCCTGTGGACGTCACAATGTGTTTTTGGTCATGCACAAACTATGTTGATTTGTACAGCAACTTTGGAGATGTGCACATGAAGAAAGCTTTTTTTTTTTTTTTCCTCAAATAGGGAGCATAACATTTTAATACAAGTTAGTTTGTAATCATTGTAGAAAGTGAAATTTGATCAGGTCCAAATAATAACATTTTAACAAAAACTAAAATATCATGAAACTGGAAAGCCAGAATGTGATGGAATGTTTCTGTGGTGATACCTGTTAAAAAGTAATGAATCCTGCATAATAATGTAATGTCATTTATTAAAAGGTTGCATTACAGTCTCGTCTCATCCAAAGGAGCATTTCTTTTACATTCTTGCAAGTTACTAGATAATTTGGTTTCACTGGGTTAAAAAGGCAGCAGTCTGCTACTTGCTGTGACATGATAGGAGTGTTTGAACATGATGAGACGACAAACCAGGTCTGCGTCTTTCCCTCTTACTCTCAGCTAAGGCTTTTTCAAGCGTCGGTAAACGTGTGCTTGAGTTACTCGGCAAAGTATATGCTTTTCTGTCCTAATGAACAGATGTGATGTTATGTCACATACATTCACTTCATTTTTTCCATCTCTGTCCTCATTTGCAGGACCTGTGGAGAAGGCCCAACAAGAAAACCACATAGAGGATGAATTATAACAGCTGGAACTGGGGGAAAAAAATCACTCTATTTATTGACAGTGTATAAATGTTCAAGTTCATTCTCGCTCTGTTTTTTTTTTTTTTTCCATTTGGGTTTTCTTTTCTCTTTCTTTTTGTTTTATTTTGTTTATGATGCCCCGTTTGTTGAACTGCTGGAAGCTAAATGGAAAAGGATAGGAGACCACTCACCTTGTTCCCCCTCTGTCTCCTGTGCCGTTCATCTCTTCTGTCTTAAATGGAGAAAGAACCAAAATAACCCTCTCGATCCAACAAATGATCTGATTGACGCCGATACAGAAGGAGGTGTAAGCTGTGCATGGCCATATTGAAATAACTATAGACATTTGACAAGGGTGAGTGTTGTTATACTCATCATTCAACTTGTCATTCATAAATTTTTCATCTCCTGCTTTGTCCTCTGCCCTGTATCCTCAACCATGGTGTGTAGTTGTGAAGTTAGTATTTGTCGCAACACCTGCCCTCCCTTTTACTCACATTTCATGGGAACTGAGTAATGTGCACTGGAAACTTCAGGAGGAATCTCCATTGATAGATGATAGATGATAGATTCATAGGTTTTTTTTTTTTTTTTTTCCAGCCTCTAACGTTTAATATGCCATATACATTGTAGGGAAATTTGTTGAAAAAGTGGAAGCAAATCTCATATGTACAGTTTATTTAAAACTGTATTGTGACTAGAGTCAGTTGGTAAGAATCTTTAATCTGGTGACTCCTGACTATAAATCTGTCCTCACAATTATTGCTGGGGCAGCATGATACACTAATGGAAGTTGTACTATAATTACTGACTGGATAACTCAAAATCATTGTGTCAAATCAGATTAAATTCTACTACAAGAAGGATAGGATAATATACATGACCAGAAATGCTGAAGGTGGATCTACTTGGTTGATAACACAACTACTGAAGATGTGTCCTTCATTGATGTCACTTACATTTCTATTTTTTACTTTGCTCCCTTGATGGAGGTTGTTTTCTGGTGAACGTCCAATATTACACAGTCCCAGAAGTTCATACTCCCCACCAGCATTTAGAGTTTTCTTTTACTTCCTGACTGAACAGAATCATGCTTACCTCAAAAAAGAAGCACATGCTTGGGTCCATAATGTAGCCATTAGTGTCTGTGATTGACTGCTCAGGTTCTCCCGTGCAGACTGAGAACTAGTTATAAAACTGAATTGCCCAATAGCTATACATATATGCTAAACATCACAGAAGAGGTGGTGCGTTAGCGTTGTCACTGTTCTTGACCTCGACATGCCCTGTGGTGCCGATTCTTGCTGAGATGTTGGCTCCATTTTTTTCTTCCCATCAGAACAGGAAGGGGTTATGGACTCTGGATTAGAAGGGTGGGTGAGTTTTGTGCTACTGTGTTTGTAGCACTCTGGATTATTTGGAGATGGAACAGAAAAATACAAACAAAGCCAAGAAAGGAAGACACAAAAAATGTTGTGTTTCTAAACTGTTAATAAAAAATCCTTTTTTTTTGTTTTTAAGTTGTTATTTTGTTAATATGCTTACATTTTTACTTTGGGGTTGTTGTTGTTTCATTGAAGCACACAACTCAGGGTCAGCAATTGTGCCTGCACACATCTGTCCTGTTGAAGTGCTGTTGAGCAAGACACTGTTCTTGTTAAAAAATACTGCTGTTCTTTAGACATACAGTGCACTCAAAGTCTTCAGTCCCATTCACACAGTTTAAATTCATTTTTTTCCCTCATCAATCTTCACTCAATAACACACATTGACATAAGTATGCAGACACTTCGCTATGACTTATTTCTCTTGATCATCTCTGAAATGTTTCTACACATCGATTGGAGTCCACCTGTGGCAAATTCAGCTGATTGGACATGATTTGGAAAGACACACACCTGTCTCTATATAAGGTCTCACAGCTGACAATGTACATCAGAGCAAAAAACCAAACCATGAGGAGGAAGGAGCTGCCTACAGAAATAAATAAATAGATAGATAGCTAGATAGATAGAAGGCTGTATTGAAGGTTCCCAAGAGCACAGTGGCCTCCATCATTCCTAAATGTAAGACATTTGGAACAACCAGAGCTCTTCCTAGAGCCGGCCACCTGGACTAAATGAGCAATGGGGGGAGAAGGGCCTTGGTAACAGAGGTGACCAAGAACCTGATGGTCACTGGCTGAGCTCCAAAGAGTCTGTGTGGCGAAGGAGGAACTTGAAGAAGGATAACCATCACTGCAGCACTCCACTGATCTGGGCTTTATGGCAGAGTGGCCAGACGGAAGTGTCTCCTGAGTGAAAGTTGCAAAAAAAAAAAAAAAAAGCACCTAAAGGACTCTGACTGTGAGAAACAAGATTGGGCTGGTGTGGTGATTTGAAGTGTTTGGCGTCAGTTCTAAGCATCGTGTCTGGAGGAAACCGGGTGCTGCTCCGTGAAGCACCGTGGTGGCGGCATCAGGGTGTGGGAGTGTTTTTCAGCAGCGAGGATAGGGAGACTGGTCATGGTTGAGGAAAATGGAGCAGAGTACAGAGATATCCTTAATGAAAACCTGGGCCAGAGCACAGGGCATCTCTGAAGACCTGAAAATGGCTATGGTACCCCTCCAGCCTGACAGGGCCTGAGAGGATGAAAGAAAAGAGAAGTGAGAGAGAAGAAAGTCCCCAAATCCAAGTATGCAAAGCTTGTTGCATCATAACCAAGAAGACTTGAGGATGAAGGGTCTGAATACTTATGTCAATGTGATATTTCAGTTTTTGATTAATAAATTTGCAAAAATGGGGGGGGGCATGTTTTCTCTTTGTTATAATGGGTTATTTAGTGTGCAGAAAAAAATGCAGATTTATCCAATTAAAATAGAGGGGACTGAAGCTATTGTTCCATCACAGGGAAAATGCAATCCAGTGACCTGCAGTCCTGTCAGAGAATGAGGCCTAACGTCATCTTGTGTCCAATAATCAGCAAAGATCCACTTTTCACTCACTTTGCCATGAACAAGCAGCGGGGGGGGGCAGTAAACACGTCCCTTTCCAGGTCACGTCACGTGTTCCTCAGGCCTCACAGACCTCAAACATTAAAGGAATTAAAAAATGATTGTAATGTCAAAAAGAGCTTTAAGTTGACATGTGCAGACTAAATAATATGCTTTCATCAAAAATACCAATATGAAAGTGGAGCACTGTAGATTTATACACTCTCTGGGCACTTCATTAGAAACACCTGCTTATTCATGCAATTATCCAATCAGACAATCATGTGGTGGCAGTGCAGTGCCTAAACTCATGCAGACACAGGTCAGGAGCTTCAGAATGAGGAAAAAAATGTGATCTCAGTGACTTTGACCATGACATGACTGTTGGTACCATACAGGCTGGTTTGAGCATTTCTGCAAATGCTGAGCTCCTGGATTTTCACACACAATGGTCTCTAGAGGTTTTACTCAGAATGGAGCCAAAAGCAAAAACATCTAGTGAGCAGCAGCTCTTGAGAAGGAACACCGTGTTGATGAGAGAGGTCAGAGGAGAATAACCAGACTGGTTCGAGCTGACAGAAAGACTACAGTACCTCAGATAACCACTCTTTACTGTGGTGAGCAGAAAAGATTCAGAATGAACAACTCATAAAACTACAACAGCAGAAGACCACGTTATGTCCGCTCCTGTCAGCCAAGAACAGAGAGCTGAGGCTACAGTGGACACAGCTGCACCAACGCAGGACAGTTGACTGGAAAAGCGTATGTCACAGTGAGACAGTGTTTTAATTGCTAGATCCAATATTAGTTGTGTTAATCCTTTTATTCAGTATTGCACGTTTGTTTATTATTGTGGTTTTATCGTTTGTACATATTTTATATTCCATGTGTGAATTGTGTGTGGTTTGACTATGGATAAGGTTGATGAACTAATGAGAAACAGCCGTGATGAACTGCCTCACACACCTTGGCGGCTCTGGATTGGCAGACAGACGCTGTGCTTTTAAATTGATTATGGACAGGTGCGCGAGGAGGCGGTGAAGAAAGACAATCGGAGGAACGAGGACGCGGGGCTGGAGACAGGTTTGGAGTATAGGACGGAGGCTGCTCGATCGGTACGTTCTGCTGCAGGAACACGGGCCGACAGAGCGAGGGTTTGGCCGGGACGAGGTACCAGACGAACCACTGCAGGACGAGCCAGACGGAAGTGAATAGACTTGGTTCATCGCCCACTACACGTTAAGTAAAGCGTCAACGGCAGACCGTGATCCAGCGGAGCTGCAGGGCCAAGCAGAGGAGCGCCAGACTGCTGCTTTGCCTGCATGGCCCCCTTGCTTTGCTTGCCTGTGCCAATTCATCTACATGGTCTGGCCTCGCTTGCTTTGCTTTGTTGGAGCCAGTACACCCATATTGCCTGGTTTCACTGGCCTATCCCCTAAGGGTGACTAGACCATAGTTTTTGTGTGTGGATTGCCCATGATTTCTATAGTGTTGATTTGATTTACTGCTATACCATCCATGGGATTCTTTCTCACCTTTGTGAACCCGAACCAACCGAAATTCACGCTTTTATTTTGTTTTATTTGCTTTCAGGCAATAGAATGAGCTGTGGGGAGTACGTGTGGGCTCCACCTTGCATGCAGTGTGGTAAGCTTAGTGGTGGTGGTCATTTGCGTGTCTTGTAGTTTTGTTTCTGCTTGCAGTGAGTTGCAGTGTTAGCGAGCACCAGGTGATCACGTTGTGGTATCTATAGGGGTATACGATAGAATCTCCCCACAGTGAGTACGTTGTCTGATTTATTGTGACTCATAAATACCACTGTTAACCCATACTGGAGTCTGTAACTTTTTAGCTGTTACTGTTTTAGATTAGATTTGTTGAATAAAACTTTTTCTGGATTTAACTTTGTTCTCTTTTGCTCTCCAGGGCTGCAGCTGCAATATCAAATTTTTAAATAAATATTTCTAGTAGTTAACTGAACACACGTTTCTGCTCTCCTTGAACCTGTAAATGTGTATTGTGTCGACACGTATGAAGTTGGGGCCTTTCATGACCTATTGGGTTATATAGATACCATATTGGTCTCAAACTGTGTTCTGTCACAAACACAAGAACTATTTATACTGTTGAAGAAAATTCACTCAAGTCCTTAGATTCAAGTTTGCTGTAGTGAAGTAAGTTTATTGGTATCCCAGGATACGGTGAGCCAACTGACACAGCGGGTCTGAGGCAGTAGACTGACCCAGAGTGTAGGGCAGGGGGACAGTTATACAGATGCAGACAAAGGGATGGACAACTGTATTTGCATATACCTGGGGTTACAGACATTTGGTCAGACAGGAAAGGAGGTTAGAAACACAAGGTAATGTTTATCAAGAGGTCTTGTAGTGTAGCACCTAGGTTCAGGTTATCAGGGGGCAGGAAGGGCCCTTAGACTGAATCAGCATATGCATGGTTAGGGTAGGCGGGGCCCCTAGACTGAATCAACATCTGCACAGGTAGGGTGTTAAGACAATGAAGCGTTGGTGATGTAAGAAGGAAGAAGGGGTGTTCTCCTTGATGAAAGGATCAAGGGGCCAACTCAGTAGGGTTATAGAGTTGTTCGTAGGTAGGTAGGACCAGGTAGGCAAGTCTACACTGAAGATTGTGTATATTCTTCCTCAATACTCTTGTAAACTGATAGTTTGAGAAGATTTGTGAAGAAACTATGTGCCTTTACATCTTCTTTTCTGAATGAACAGTAATAAAGTCCCAATGTCCTCAAATGATAATAATATAATTCATATTTATACTTATTACTATTTGCATGCCATATCAAACTACAAACATTAGAGTATAAATAATCAAGTTTTAGCCATAAAATTTGTTGAGGTTTTGTACCCTGTCCACTTTTGTGTTGGGATCGGCTGTAGGGTGACTTGGCTGAGATGGCCGCCATCTTGTTTTTACATTAGGTGTATTGTGCGTTTGCTACCACTAGTTGGTGGCAAAGGTGTCTATGAGGACAACAGGTCTACGTTAAGCAGAATGAAGTATAAGGTGCAGTAATGTGGAGGTGAAGCATGTCCTCATATGAGGATGCAGGGCCTCAGGAGGTTAAACATGACAGTGAGTTCAGTGAATTTCAGTGGCCTCCCCAGTCTCCAGGTCTGAATCCAGTAGAGTACCTTTGGGATTTAGTGGAGCAGGAGATAGGCAGCATGAATGTGGAGCTGACAAATCTGCACCAATGATGTGATGCAATCATGTCAAATGGAACAAAATCTCAGTAACATTTCCAACATCTTGTGGAATCCAAGACCTAAAATGCTCGGTGAGTATATATCAGTTTTGTTACATCTTCCAAAAAATCGCAAGAGATTCAACCATGAATAAAATAACAAATATAAAGATCTTATCAAACACCTTTTTATTAGAAATAGAAATACAAAAACATATGAACCTTTTTTTAATAGAAAAAAAATCCTTAATGTGAACTACAGTACCTATCACCATGCTCTAGTAACACAGCACACAAATCCATTACCCAACATCAGAGTATAAGATGAAAACCAAAGCCTAAAGCAGTGTACAAAGCTTATATTGTATTGTTGTCAGTGCATGGACAGTGCAGTTGCCTCTCCTGACTTGTCAGGAGATGATTAACCTAATATCACTAAAACATACCCAACTGTTAAAATGACTTTCGTTTGCTGTGTTTACTGATTTTTTTCATTTAAAGTAAATGAAGATGAAAAGATTAGAAGATACACCTATCTGAATTATTCCTATTTTATGCTTGTTTCAAGAAAGCTGTTGTATATGATAATACCAACAATGCAAAAGTCAGGTTATTGAATGACCTCTGACTTTTGCTTTCACTCATTTACAGTATTGTACTCTGTTGTACTCTATGAATGAATGAAATACGGCACAATCCTTTTCAAGCTGTCTTCCCCCATTGTCACTTCTGTGGGCACAGAATTGTCTCGCTGGAAATGATTTTGGACTTGTACATGTGGTAAACAATGAAAACCACCAGAGTAAGGCAGATGGCTCCGACAACGCCCGCTACGACTGAAACAGCCAGCATGGTGCTATTCATATCAGTCTGCACAGTTCCTGGGAAGGAAAGAAACACGCAAGATTAGACCATATAGAGCTGAGCACACTTTCTATACTGATGAGCGTGACTGCACATTATATTTACTGTATATACAACATTTAAGTATCTAACTGTCAAGCTAATTGTTTCCCCTGATCATTCATCTGCAGTTAAAGATCCATCTATTCATTTATTTTTGGCAGCAGACCCAGGTGTATACATAGCTTTATAATCACTTACTCATTATATTTAATGTCGTGTTTAAGTCTTTCTTTTTACTGAGAATGTTGTATTGAGGGCTGGAGGGATGATTTTTTATAAAAGTTTGCTGTTTATTTGAAATGAACAAAAAGGCAATAAACAAAGTATGGGGAAAAAAAATACTCAACTATTTCCATCATGTGAACAACTGAGAGCAAAACTATGAAATCCCTCCAGCTGAGACTGCTTGAAAATCCTCTTGGATCAAAGCCCACTATTAAGGAACTCACCAGCAACTTCCCCTCTCAAGACAGGCTCCAAAACAGGGTTTACCTTTTCCAGGTGAGGACTCTGTCTGGCCTTTCATTTTGGACACATTCATTACTTCTACACCCACTATTCCCTGGGGGCTTTAATAAGTTGTGTCTAAATTATCAGGAAAACCAAAATGGCATTGTTGTTGCATCTGTTTCGGTTGATAAAATTACAGGATTACAGGACGTGAACTCATGCTGACAGTGTATGCATACCTCCAGATGCCAGCAAATAGCCTGTGAGAAGACAAAAGAAACCTCCAATCAACTTATGCAGACCGATATGATTCAACAAACATGCAACTGTGCCTTCATTATAGTAGTGTCTTTGAATGCTAACAGACCATTCAGGTTCTCACCGTTATCTGAGCGGGTGGTGATGGGGCCTGAACTGATGGTGGCCATGTCACTCACTATGGTGCCCTGGTGGTCGCTGATGCTGCGGCGTGTTCTTGAGTTGGTGCTGCTGGTGCAGTTCTACAGGTGAATTAGGTAATTTATATATATACACACAAACCACTGTGCATTAAAACTATATCTCTAGGTTCATAGCATCTCATTTGAGTAGCCGAGTATCCAAAGCAATTATGCCCATATTGAATTTATCTGCACCTACAACTTACAACCAATGCCATTGGATGGAACGAAGTAGTGTGCTCTATATGTAGAAAGTAAGGGTATAGAATTCGGGGGGTGTAGCATGTCTGACTTTCATGTAGGAGGCCTGGAGTTTTTGTCAAATCTTTTCCAAGTGAACCCTTTGGATATTATCTGGAAGAGCTTGTCTGAGGTTATTGGTACCAAATGAAGTTTGACCATTTCTTAAATCCAAGGTTTCACTTACTGTTTCCACCAGCACTGTGAATCTTTAATGGATGTGTTCAATAAAGACACAAACGATTATAGTTATTTGTGTGAAATCAGCTTAAGGACATTGTGTCAATACTTGTGACTTGATGAAGATCAGATCACATTTTCTAATCAATTAACAAAAGACAGGGATTCATCTAGTTTTTCTTTTCACTGTAGTTGCAATGTGTAGATATCGTAGAAAGCATTCAGTTCAGTGTCTGAACATAACTGAACATAATACAGAGATGTAAATATTTGTCCAAAATTAAAAGTTCTTTACTTGCAAAAGGTTTGCATTTGTGATATGTGTGTGTGGAGGCAGAGTCTGACCTGAATCAGGTTGTGGCAGAAGGAGTTCATACAAAGCCGGGTGGCACAGTGTACATAATAAGTGGAGAAAGTCTCATCTGTGCTTTGGACAAAGCGGAAAGCCTCGAAGGAGAAGCGAGCTTCCTGCTGTTGCCCGTTGACTCCCATTACAGTCTGGCCATCTCGGTCACACCTTGAGGAGGACAGATAATGATCAGAGTTTTCTACCAGGTTTGAATCTGACAAAATTATGAAATTCCGACTAACGGACGGGACCCCTTTCGGTTTAACCTGGTCACCAGGTGATTTTACCACTAAAACAAATAACGTGACCCTTGACCCTTTAAAGGTTATTCACGCATAGTCCAATTAACATTGGGAAACATTTCATGTATACATTGGTGATGTACCTGGAAGGTAGACATATTATATTGTATGTGGTAAATTGTAAAATTTTAATCCCTGTGGATGAAAAAGTCAAACACTTACCAAGTGAGTCATGTTCATGTACATGTTGAATGCTCCAGAAAAGTTAGTGTAACCTTTATTTCTAAACATTAGCTCTGGTCAAAATGCTTTGTGTTTTTCTCTTTTCTTTCCATCTCTGTAGTCTGGTGACTCACCCAACAAAGAGATTGTGAGATGTGGTGTTGATGGGGAAAGGTGAGGTCGTGGCATAACATCGGTCCAGGAGCACGTTGAATCTGCAAAGAAGAGTTTTACCATTTTCAGGTGAAATTATAATGGCTTCAGAAAGTCTCCAGACCCCTTCACTTTTTGCACTTTATTTTGTTATAGATTCAATTAGAAATGGTTCAAAATTTGCGCATCAGTCCCCACTCAATAACACATAACTACAAAATAAAAACATGTTAGAATTTTGTGCAAATTTATTGAAAATCAAAAACTGATATCTCATTTTGCCCCTGCCCTAACGTAGTCATGACTGTTGTTTGACATGTGTTCTTTTTGTTTCTTGCCCACCACTCATTGACACTGAATCTCTGTGGGTCCACAGCAATCCACCCACAAAGTTTGAAGTCGATCAGATGAGCGGTTGTTAAAAAAATTGAAGGGCAGACAAAAAGACAAATTCTTTCAGTTTTTAGTTAGATAGTTTGATTTAAAATTAAATCTGCAACATATTAAAATGTGCACGTAACAAAGGGGTCGGAATACTTTCTGAAGCCACTGTATGTCTACTGGGACTGTAGAAGTTTTGCTGTGGATCTTGGAAGGGGTAGAGTTTTTGTACTCAGCCTGTGGCTCAGGAGGTAGCGCAGGTTGTTCACTAATTACAAGGTTGTTGGTTTGATTCCTGGCTACTCCAGGCCGAAGTATGTCAAAGTATTCTTGGGGAAGATACTGAACCCCATGATGTTCCATCATTGTATGAATGTGAGTACATGTGGCAAGTATTGTAAAGCACTTTGAGCAGTCAGTAAGACGAGAAAAGCGTCATATAAGTGCAAGTCTATTTACTATTTGATTAGTTCGGGGAGACTGGAGATGGTTGCGACAAGTCTTATTGCTCCAATCAGAAACATGCAACAGTGATGACACTCACACTACACATGCTCAGTTAAACTGTTCTCACACCAGGAAGACAGAAGACACATTCAGCATCTTCACATTTAGTGAAAGAAAAAACTTTTGGCTGTGTGAAAGTAAATGTTTTTGCATGAGCTGTATTGTTGTCAAATTGTCCTGATCTTTGGTATGAATGAGTCAAAACATAGTTTGAATAATTGTTTTGTTGACTTCTAAGTGATGTGGTTAGCATGTGTCTAGCTAGCACATGATGTTCTGTCACGGCTGATGGGTGGGGACGGTTGCAACAAATTGTTGTAACTGTCCTCAAGCTAAGCAGCCAAATCAAAACAGACCACGCAACAGGAGTTTTTTTTTTTAACCTTTTCCTTCAAAATAGGCAAAATATGCAGCTAATTTTGTCCCATAGCACAGCAGATGCAACAAAAATTGCTAATTTTTTGCTCACTTGTAAGTGAATAGAAACAAGTTATTTAAGAAATTATTTCATCAGTCTCTCATGGTCTTATAATGTACAGTATTTGCTCGTTCTGTTCATCATATGCAATAAAAAATAAGTACGCCTATGTTCTATGCAAAACAAAACGCAACTGTTCTTTGATAAATATTAAGATAAATAAATGAATAAGATATTATTTATAATAAATGAATAATAAATATTATTGTTGTAAAACAGTGCATATAAGTTCACTAAAATAAAATAATATAGGCTATAAGTTTGGTTGGTCTTGTCCAAATAGCCTCTAAGTTACTGAGAGAAATGCAAAATATGTTGCAACGGTCACCAGTCTCCCCTAAACTTGTGTCCCTGAGTTAACATGGACAACAAACAACACTGACACTTTTGCCTGATATTTAGGATCAAAATGTCAATATGCTCTTTATTGAGCAAATAAGTCTAATGTTTAGGGAGAACAAACCACACAATCAGTACACTTGAGTTGCTGAAACATAACCTGTTGGTGAGGTTGGACGCCTTCACTTCTACAAAGATCCTGGTCTTTAGCTCAAGGCCTCCCGGGGGGATCCGCAGCATGAAGGAGTAGTCATTGTCCTTAAAGCCCAATAACAGAAGAGAGGGAAGGATGTTGTAATAAAATGATAAAGATAATAATATTATAAAGATAAGAAATCATTTCATCATCATTTATTTGCCTGAAATTATAGGTGTTAGTTGGTTCAAAATCACTGTAACTTTCAGAAATTTTCAGAAATTAAACACAGGAGCATAAAATTATGTTATCCCTCTTACCTTCTACGAACAAAGTAACCTATCCTATACTCTGAGATTAAAGGGGGAGACTCAAGGAAGTTGCTGCATCCACCCAAGTTATACTGTAGCGCATAACCCCTGTAAAACCATCACTGTTCACCTCAAGTGTCTCAGTAAGTCATGACAGTGTAACAGTGAGCCAGGCATACACAATACGAGGACCCTGAAACGGAAGCAGCTGAATGGAATTAATTATTATTTATTATTTACTATGAATGATGAAAAAGGCCCACTGTGTGTGTGCCATGTGATGACGATTGCTGTAAATCCTCAAATGACTGCTTTCCTGTAGCAGTGAAGACTACAACACCTTCATTGGGCAGGTGGACTTGCACCCACCAGACTGGATCTACTGACTTGTGCTTGCTGAGATTGTGTGCAAACATGGGTACAACATTCTTTAGGTTCTGTGGCGCCAGGAACTAGAAAAAGTCGGTCAATAGATGGCTTAGTATCCTAGCTACATTTTTTAAATAAAATTTTTCAATGTCATTTTATTGATGATTATATACTGTAGCTATGTATTGAGTTGGTTTGTTGGACTTAACTGTGTCATGCCTGACATTTTTGTGGTTGAGTTGTGTGATTTGATGTCCTTCTTGTATTGTCAACTGAACTGAACTAAACCCAGAGTTAAAGGAGCACCTTTTTCTTGTTTTCCCTGATTTAAAGAAATGTGTTGTACTTAGACATCATGAGTGTAAGATGGTGCCAGTTTTTCTGACAAAACCTCACTCTTCTCACCGAATACAGTCGCATGCTCAGCGTGCTGATGAAACTCCCATTATTGTCTTTGACTGCCAGACTGACCCCAGACCTGTTGGTCAAAAAAAAAAGTTCTGTCAGCGACCTTGAATTCATTACAGAAATAAAAATCAGGTCATCATTCTCTGAGGACACAGGCTGCTCCATGAGGCAAAAGTAAATATGGTAACATGATACTTTCTTATGTACGAGCCAGTGTGAGGTTCATTCATCAACTTCACTTAGATTTCTTAAATTTTCGACTTTAACTTTATTGTCCCTGAAGGTAAAGTCTTCTTGCGCTCAAGTGAAAAATGGACTTGAACTTAAAAATTCATAAACATAAACATTTATTACAAATAAAATGTAATAAAAATATATTAAACATAAGAACACGGCAGTTCTCTGGCACTGTGCTGGAATTCCGGTGTGGATAATTATGTCTATGGAAAATATTCTTGCGTATTTTTTTAACTGTCATGTAGCAAGAATATGGCTATATATATATATATATATACAGCCATAAGGAACCCTATATTTTGTATTAATCAAGTAGACCTACTTGATTAATAAAAAATCTTCAAAAAAGACTTTGGCTCTGTGAATTGTCAGCTCAATAATGCACATGACCGCGCTACTTTGAAAAAGCACTGCAATGAATAGGCTTTTTGTTTTGTTTTCATATCATCATCGCAATCTTTTGAGAATAGTCGGCCTATTACATGCCGCATGCTGTTTAAAGACCAACAGAGAAACAAGCGTTGAAAAGTTTGAAAGATAGGCGTATTGGATAGGCTATTCTTAATGGCTTGGAAAGTTAAGCTTGGACTTGGATACAATTACCGGACTATGGTTTCCAACTGAGGAATGGGCGTTATAATGAAAACTGTGAGTTTTCGTGAAACAGCCTGTCTGTGATGGCATGGCGAATTTCGATCCTTCGCCATGAACAATCAACTCACTATAACTTATGTTGCATCGTCCAAACTGCCCCAAACTTTAGATGTGCGATAAGAGTCCTGGCATGAACACATCTACACTGTTTAATTTACTCTTCCTAGGAGGTTGACCTGGCCCTCATCATCAGGGTCAGAAAATATGCCCTTAGACCCTATTGATGCTTTATTGTGAAAATTGTAAGTTTTCATTCAAGGGTGTGGCTCTGGCGGCGATGTGACCATGAAACAGGAAGTGGCTATATGTCCATGACATATTGTCCAATTCCAATATCATTATTGGTTTAATCTCAGCTTGAGACCTTAGCAATGTAAAAAATGCAAAGTTTTTGAGAGACAACACGTCTGTGGTGGCACGGCTTTCAATGTTTCGCCATGAAGAAATCAACTCGCTCTCACTCAAGCACACATTGTCCAAACTTTGTGTGGTTGATAAGAGTGCCTACCTGAACACATCAACATGCTCATATTCAGTTACAGTCATAGCACCACCTTGTGGTAACAGGAAATGCTATTTTTTTCTACAATTTCATGTACTACTCATAGCAGGTGGACCAGACCCTCATCAAAGGTGGTCAGAAAATACTTTTCTTTCCTTGCTGATTCTAAATTGTGAAAATTGTGGCTTTTCATTTGCGGGCGTGGCTGTAGTGGTGCGGTGAATTCTGAAATCCGAAGTCGCTATAACTCTAATATACTTTCTCCAATCTTCTCCAAACATGGTCAGAGTATGCTTTACACCTAGATGATGCTGGACTGTAAAAATTGTTTCTGTTGAACGGCTTATGTAGTACAGTGAATTTCTGTGTTCCATTGTGTTTTCTGATATTAAGCCAGGTGTGCTTATTTCCTGGTCTCTGGCTTCATCTGGTGGAAAAAGTTAAGAATGCAAACAAACATACAATATCTTCAGTGGCTTTAACTCTATTATATATTTTCCAATCTTCCCCAAATTTCACGTTTGATGACAGTCTCACTCTGAAGATATCTAAATAATAATATTAAGCCATTGTCACCGCGCCACCTACTGAAAACAGGAAGTAACTCTTTAATGAAAGTCATTTGATTTACATGATATTTTAATTGTGTGGTCTCTTACAGTGCTACGTATGTGCCTAATGCGTGCATGGTCTCTGGCGCTCACATATAACAAGCTCAATAAACATCAATGACAGTGTCACATATAACAATAAACAGGTTAACAGCTGGATCATAAGAGATCCTTTGAGACAGATCAGGCCTATGGTCTCTGGTCACATTAACTCTGTCATGTAGCCTGTTCTTGTCACTTGCTGAGTGACTGTAAAACTGGGTGGTAAAAGAAAAAGTAATGGCTTACACAAACATGGAACTGAGTCAGGGTGGCAATCACTGCCCAGGTTAACCAGCCAGCTCTTCTTCTATTTATTCAGAGAGAATATTTTTCTGGGATAACTCTTGCATACATCATCATCCATACTTTATTAGGAATGAGCTGACAATTGGCAAGGGCAGGATACACCCTGACAGATCGCCAGTTTAGGGCTGACATACACTCACCCGCCACTTTATTAGGTAAACCTTGCTAGTACCGGGTCGCTTTGATGCAGTTCTAACATCAGAAACGTCATTCTCACAACTCTTAGTGCAGTTCTCAAAACAGTTCATTATTTCCCCGCACAAATTAACGTTTCTCATTGTATTTGTACAAGCTTCCTTTGTATCCACACATAGTTCACTACTAAAGACGTTTTCTCATTGTGTTGATGCATTTCTCATCAGACTCAAACTCTCATCATTAAAACTGTTTTTAAACAGATAGAATAACAGACCTCCCACTCACTTTGATACAGCAGTGCATTGCATTAGTGTTTTCAATCAAATCACTGTAAACTTTCTTCAAATATGCATAAAAGAGCAAGGCCACACACACGCACGCAAACACGCACACACGCGAAAGAGCAAGGCCACACACACGCACGCAAACACGTACATATATACTGTATGTTGTGTGAATTTACTATGCTATAATTGATGCTATGTTATAAGTTTGATTGCATATTTTTCGATTTTTGAATGCATAGTTCCACGTGTATCATTTTGCTTCCATCAGTTAAAGCAGTTATATTGTGTGAATTTAGAGATACAGTTTTTTTCAACTGTACACACAAATCCAAAAATTGCACACAATAATGCAAAGTGCCAAAATTCTGCTGCAAAATGAAACACCCCATTCAAAATATCATACAGTAAAAACATCTCAAAATCAAGTATTTACATTAAAACTTTACATTAAAACTTTACTTTTTTCATCATTTTTTGGATTCACCATGTTCTAAATCTAAAGCTGTTCTGTTCTGATATTGTGTGAATTTAGAGATAGACAGTGATCTGTTGAGAGGTTGGTACAATAAACACCAATGCAATGTTGAAAGAGAATATAGTTATTTTTCCAACATTTTTGCTGTTGTAACTGTAGTACAGTGTTGTGTCTGAACATTTTTTCTCTATATTTTTGCAGTTCTCTTTTTCTAAAGTAAGTCAGGTTTTTTATCAAAACATCAAAACATTTGTCGTCTAAGTCTTGAAGCGCTGGTGAAAAGCTTTAATTCATTAGTGACAATGTTGAAGTGATTAACTGACTCTGCATGTTTCAACACGTGAAAAAGGTTTTGATTATTTTAGAGAGTTGTGAGAATGATGTTTCTGATGAATGAATTGCATCAAAACGATTGAGAAAAACTGCAATACAGATAAGATAAAAAGTTAGATTACAACAACAACCACGACATCAAAACACAATTTGGGCTATCTTTGAGGAGCAAAGCGAGAGCACAGTGCCATGTATTTTCAAACAGCAGCAACTGAAATATAACATTTACTCCTGGTGTGCACTTACACGCTCATCTGAGTATTGTTGACCAGGTACTGAAGAGGGTAGCGGCAGGAGAACCTGTACATCACCTCTTGGTGATAGGTAATGGCTCCTGTGCTGGGGTCCTTCGAGCAGACCATGCCTGAGATGTTGATGTACTGGACATGGGAGAAGTCTGCCAACAGTCCAGTTCCCATCTCCTGAGTGACCTTTGAGGAAACAGAGTTTAAGTTTGTTGTTGTTGTGTGTGAGTGGCTTCTGCTGAGTGTTTTCAGGCTTAGGTGACCTACTGTCAGCTTGCTGGAGCAGGCAGTGATCGCGTCCTCTGTGATGGAGAAGTTGAATTTGACAACAGGTGGGTCGGCCGTCCAGTCAGGAGTCCCTTTACACTGCTGTTTGGTGTGCTCTGAGTTGAGGGCCAGCAGGGACTCATTATATCCATTGAAATAGATGGGACACAACAAGATTTGAAGGTCCACTGTTCGAGAGCCACAGAGGACCTGGATGTCTGAGTTAGCTGCGAAGAGCAAGGATGAGACCAGAATCAACTCGATCTGCTCCTGAGGGACAGATAACACTAAAACTGACTTCTTAAAGGGCCACTTCAAAAGAACCACTAAAGAAAAGGAAGCCTGTGCTACAAAGTGGAAATGTGGAGTTTGGCAGTTGGACACAGAGATGGTCTAATAGAGTGAAGAAATTGGAGTTGCTAAGTCCCATTCATTCATCCATTCAGACATCATTAATGTGATTCACAGCTGGAACATTTCTACAGCTTGGTTGGACATAAAACTCTCCTGGTTAAATCATCAAAATAGTGGTGGTTCTTTGGGAAAAGGTTATAGGACACAAAGACTTATGGGTAGAAGGTAACTTTAACTTCAAAGGTGCATTTCATTATGAAATATCCTTTGACTGATCTTAAAAGACATTTAATGTATGGCACTAACTGCTGAAGATTAAACAAAAAAAAAAACTTGACAATACAGCAGTTAACATCATTTAACTTTAATCCGTTTTGGATGGTTGACGTGCCTGGTTTATAAATTCAACAGTATAGGATTTTGAATTTACCCTAGAAATCACCATGATTCCCTGGCTTCCTCTCCATAGCAACAGCAGCTGAGGTGCAAAGGATGTGTGAGTGTGAGTGCTACTCGTTTCACTGACCTGGACTCCTGAACGTGGATCGTCCGATGCAAGCATTTTGAGCATGGACAAGAAGGAGTGTGGCGAGTTGATATATAAGGGGGACCAGCCTCATTGTCTTCAAACTGCTGGAAAAAAATAGATGACAGAAATCAGACGTGCACTTAATCTCCACCCAGGTGGATCATGTTAAAGTGCAGGAAAAGAAGCTCCAAATGAAATGTACTCAATAAGTTCTCAAATCTTTTATTGAAGTAAACATACCAATACAAGAAAAATACTCCATTACAAGTAAACGTCCTACATTCATAAATGCGGAAGTAATAACAACCAGTAAAAGTAATAGTACTTGTCCTGCAGTCTGGGCTTCAAACTGTTTAGAAGGGAAATGTGTCTTTAATGAAATTACTATTGTTTTATATATAGATTTTTTTATATAGATCACAAGCCAAAGATTGGGAACCACTGATTTAATTTCTAACATTACATTATACTGTATTTTATAGAATGCTTTTCAGATTAAGCTTTTACGTAAAATTAAGATTTTATGTAAAATCTTACTCTGAAAATTAGCTAATGAAGCTGTCAGATAAATGTAGTGAAGTAAAAAGTTTTTTGTCTGTCTGGAATGTAGTACTGGAGTATACTGAAGTGGAATGAAATGGAAATAATTAAAGTGCATGTACCTCAAAACTGTACTTTGGTGCTGTACTTGAGAGAATCTAGTTATGTCCTCACTACCACTGCAGAAACGTAGAAACGCTCTATTTGAGACATGAGTGCCAATATGATACATCAGGAAAACCTTTTAAAAACTATACAAAGTTCTGTGTGTGGAGATTCAACTAAATCAAGTCCTCACATAGACGATAGTGAAGAAAGTAGCAGCCTTATGAATAAATATGATGTACATCAGTGGCAGCTTCAATTATGTCTGAATGAGCTTGGCAAGTGATTTGAATATTCTATCTGTAGACTTATGATGATTTCTCTGAATCCCTAGTATCATTAGATAGTGCACATCTACTGGGCATATTTTGTTTTCATTGCTCAGACAGTCTGATCTAATGAATCTTCAGAGGAATCAAAAATACATTTTTACGTTTATATTTGGTACAAAGTGTTGCAGTAAGATGAGAAATGTAAGAAAGTGCTAAGAACTAAAATGTAGTAATAGCATTTGGCAACAGTACAAATGTTTGTAGGATGGTTGTGTAATAAATCAAATTCCAACTGAAGTTAGAGTTAATCATCTAAAACAATTTAATCAATTTCTCATGTCACCTAAATAAAAAAAACCCCCCAAAAAAACAAACAAAAAAAAAAACCAAAACAAACTATGAGATTGGAAAAGTTATTCCTTACCTTGCGTGGATGGCCATAGAGTGCCACCCCTCCTCCATGACGCACATTTATACTGGCCCCCTTTTCTGGCTAAAACGGGCTGACAGGAAGCCCACAGAGAAGAAAGGGAAAAGTAAGAGCGGAACACAAGCTGGTTGGATCCAATAACCAGATCATTTGACAGACATGGAACAATAGGTGATCCTATATGGAGTGTCTCTGGTCCGGTGGAACATCATGTCAAATAGATATAAATTTAACTTGTCATTTCAGCAGTGACCTCAACTGCCATCATTCGTAGGCAAGTGTCCAAATTTTCCCTGAGTCACATCCCTATGGATTCTACTTAAAGAAAATTTGCAGGGAAACTGCCACTATAGTTGACTTTAAACAAGATCATATCGCTGCTCTTTTGTTTGGACTGATTATTATTTTAGATTGATTAGAATATAAGTCCACAGGAAACTATATTAAAAAAAAAACCCCTATATCAGCAAGAACTTATGGCAACTATGAAGACATTACACAACCAAAATGTTAACACCTGCTGAATTGTTTCAGCCATTTTATGCAAGAGCGTCTAAAAAAGCCACGATAATTCTATTCACAAAAGCAATATGTTTTTGTCACATTCCCCCACTTCTGCCAGGGGACACCACTCTTTGTTAAGAAATTAGGTCTCCTTCACATCATCTCAGACATGGAGAGAAAGGCACACCCTGCCTCCTACAGCTGTCACCTGAACCACAAATCCCCTCAGATCCCCTCCAGGAACCCTGACCTGAACAATGGAGTAGAGATGAGCTTACACAAAGCTTAGCGTAAAGAGGGTATCCTGTCTGTCCATTTTCCCATTTAGTAGCCATAAGTGTATCTGAGTGTGTTATTACCCAGAGGGAACCTCTGAGATCTACTTTTTCTTAATCCTGGGTGTTAAATCTTAAGGGGGAATGATGTTTGCACAAGGTATGGATGTTTCTGCATGATATGAAATTCTTCTCTCCTGAATCATATTTGTTTCATTCAGCTCTGGAGCAGCTGTGATTTTTTACTGTGAACACCTTTCTTACCAACTGATTCATATGTTTGTATTGCAACTTTTTTATTACCATCTGACACATACGTTGACCAGGAAACAAGTGTTACATACATCAGCTGTATTCATGGAATAAGTTAAGGTCCCATTCTTCATCCACACTCTTCTGCCCCCATTATCTGAGGGCACAATAACCTTAACATCCATTAACTCCTGAGTGAAGCTGCTCCTCTCATTGTCCGCCACAGTAACTGGATCTGCCTGATATCACAATGAATCCTGTTCTGCTTTTGTTGAATATTAGCCATCAATTAATGTCACCCACATCCACATTAATCATGCAGCCAAGATCTACTGAATGCAGTCAACAAAACTTGAAATCAAATCCATTCACTTTATTCCACTGGCCAAGTGAGGACATTAATAAGGATATAAGATGTCAACACATTTAATTGAGTATTTGGAGTTTTCATTTATTCGTCAAATTTTCTGCAAGTTTCCTCTGGAAATCACAAAATAAACATAACTTACTAAACTCTCACTAAAATATTGGTCTCATAACTTAACAAGAAAGCTTTATCATTTTATTTCCCTACATGCCAATATGATTGCTATTTTATAGTAAAGCCCTGCCCACACAGAAAAAAACTGAATCTGACCCTTTATTACATTTATTATTTATTTATTACTAAAAGTAGTCAAATTCAAAAATAGTTAGTCAATATTTTTTCTTTGTTTGTTTGTGGCCATCCCTTCTAGAAATCTAATTCAGTGCATCATTATGTGTAATGCTACCAATATCATCTGTCAAACTGTGGGAAAACCACAAACAGTTTCAAACAGATCTCCAGTGAACATAAATGTTTGATCAGACACTGACCCTCTTTATCTGATTAGTTTAGGACTAGTTTTCCCTCTGTGGGTTTGATATGAGCACAATGCTGTCAGTTAAGGTTACTGGTGTGTCTGAAGGGTCTACCTCACTTTATCGTAGCCTTTCTAATCTTCGTCCACTTTATCACTTCCGATAGCTGTTTCCAGAACTAGTTCAATTTGCTAAATGTTCTCTGTGTTGATTTATCCTCCATTTTGTGATTTGTTATATCTGTGGAGCTTTCCATGTATTCTGAGCTGGGGAATGACATTTTTCATTATATATTCTGGAATTAACTTCTACATAAAACTTAAAACACTCCTCACCACTCCACTGAGTCCTAATATTGTCACTATAGTTACCAAACTTCATCACATACAAACACAAGGTTGCAGTGAAGGTAAATGTATTCTTGCCTCGGTGCTTCAGTATGTCACAGGTAAACAAAAAGGCCTTTTTTTTTTTTCATGGAAGACGTTTTGACTTGTCAAAGCAGGAAATGCACAAATTAACAAATAACTTTAACAATATTAACAACAGTCACTTACATAATTACACACCTGAGATTTTTCTGCTCCGACATGTCAGAGTATCTGCTCTTCTTTGGTGGAAGGGAACTAAAGATCACCTCATGAAACATGACGCAACGCACCTACAGATTGGTTTACTCAGACATATAGTTCATGTTAGCTCTTCCTTCTCCACTTACATCATCAACATGCTGTTTACAGTACATGCTTAGACATCACAGCCTATTATTAAAATAATATAATTTGACACTGGTAGGCTACATTCAGCTGTATGATGATGAACTTGTGTATAATGAAAGACTTTGAATGCAGTATTTGCACTCTGTAATACTGCTACTTAGATTCAAATGTTTACCTGATAAAAAGATAGTATGTTGACATTTATTTCCACAATAAAGTTCAGTTCATGAGTTTATTCCTGACTTTAAAAGTCAATTTGGAAAGATATTTACAGCCTGTTGAACCACATTGTACTGATGCTTGATTGGAGTTTAATTTGCAAACTTTATGAGCCCAAACCTCACAAAAGCCCTGTTGAGTGCACACCTGCATCCTTTCCCCACCGCCACTCCAGCTTCCATTTGGTGTCGCTCTTTTCCAGCACTTGCAGGCAAACTATTTTTGAAAATGGACATCACCACAAGGCAGAAACAAAAACTACTCAGTGGTAGAAGTAAGTCACAGTTTTAATCTCAAAATGTTTGTTTCGACTGTGCCATTACAAACAATTAAGTTGGTCATTTTCTAAGGTGCATGTATAAATCAGTATTAAAATGGTGCAAAGCAAAAGAGACTTCCACAGTTAAAGAGCACCGACATACATTCCATTTGAATTTATTCAATGATTTGTTAAAAACGTTACACAGCTCAAAAAACAAACAAAAACAAAACACGAAACAATGATTTAAAACAAAATGGCAGGCTACAGTTCCACTATATCTCAACACATTCAAGCGTAAGGCCTGGATTCAACTGGCATCCAGTCTCTCTCTCCGAAAACGACAATGGTGCAAAATCACAAACGCAGTTTTCCGACACAGTGAAGGGGGTTTAAAGATCATTTCGGGAGCGATTTGGTGACTGTCGTCCCCCCTTGTGTCCGGCTTCTGTCCGCTTCTATTTGGAGCTGGTGTACTTGGTCACGGCCTTGGTGCCCTCGGACACGGCGTGCTTGGCCAGCTCGCCGGGCAGCAGCAGGCGGACGGCGGTCTGGATCTCCCTGGAGGTGATGGTGGATCTCTTGTTGTAGTGCGCCAGCCGTGACGCTTCCCCGGCGATACGCTCGAAGATATCGTTGACGAACGAGTTCATGATGCCCATAGCCTTGGAGGAGATCCCCGTGTCTGGGTGCACTTGCTTCAGCACCTTATACACGTAAATGGCGTAGCTTTCCTTCCTGCTCTTGCGGCGCTTCTTGTCTCCTTTCTTCTGGGTTTTGGTCACAGCCTTTTTGGAGCCCTTCTTGGGCGCAGGGGCTGATTTTGCAGGGTCTGGCATTTTCTCTTCCGTGGAAACGTCAGTGGAACAGGAAGGGACACAATTAAGGATGCCGCCCTATCACTCGTCCCTTATTTATAATATGGCTGTGCAAATGACTGTGTGCCATTCCTTCTTTGTGATTGGAGCACCCTTCATCAGAGGACAGGCATTACCGCAGCACGCGCTATGCCATTGGCTCGTGTGTTTCAGTTTCACTCGGCCAATCAGAGAAGCTCATGCGGTTTATATTCCTTTACTCACTACTTCGTTACGTAGAAATTCGGGCTCGCGCAAGCTCCGTTTCCTTGGTATCACTTTTTGATTAATAACCACATTTTAGAGGAACATGTCTGGAAGAGGTAAAACCGGTGGCAAAGCCCGAGCAAAGGCCAAGTCTCGCTCCTCCCGTGCCGGACTCCAGTTCCCGGTGGGTCGAGTCCACAGGCTACTGCGCAAGGGCAACTATGCGGAGCGCGTCGGCGCCGGGGCCCCGGTGTATTTGGCGGCCGTGCTGGAGTATTTGACCGCTGAGATCCTGGAGCTGGCAGGCAACGCGGCCAGGGATAACAAGAAGACCAGGATCATCCCACGGCACCTCCAGCTGGCCGTGCGCAACGACGAGGAGCTCAACAAGCTGCTGGGAGGTGTGACCATCGCCCAGGGAGGAGTGCTGCCCAACATACAGGCTGTCCTCCTCCCCAAGAAGACGGAGAAACCGGCCAAGAGCAAATAAAAGACTCTCCGCAGGCCCGGATTCAGTCGGGACAAAGGGTTCACCTCGGAGCCGGCCACTTTTTCATATCAGTGTTCATTTTTCTGGATAAACAACCTTGCAAATAGGGGGCAGTGTTTGGTGTTGCTGTTTCTACATTGAAAACATTCGCTCGCTTGTCATTTATTCATACTATTCGACTATTCATAGACTGCTCAGTCGCCACTGTTGTTCTTGGTTTCGAAAATGGAGTCGCTTACTGAAGGCTGGGGATGATGAAGGCCGCGGAAAAAAACATGTTCTGGACCAGTTTTGATGGGAGGGGTTTTAGTTTTGCAATGCTGCTACAAAACGTGCTAAATTGTTGTATTGTTTGTCATGTTTCAATAAATGTCCTGCAGCCTTTTGGCACAGGGCGAATACATCAAGTCTTTATGTTGTTGTCATCGGGGGACTTGGTCTTTGTGAGAGAGGCACATGAAGGAGCTGCAGCTTTTCTGGGCTTTTACAGTTACTCAGCCAGTTGAACACTCAGCCGATATCAGCAGTGAGTGTTCTCCCATTTCATTTTACACCTAAGTACGAGTTCATCCACTATACAGGGGGTTTCTTCTTTCAGGGACACAATGGTAATGAATGTTTTGCTCAAGATAACACATGATTATGTTATGATGACTGGAGCCCTAAGGACGATGATTCATTCTGTGTATGGGAATTTTTAAACATTTCTTGTTAGCATGGGAATTTATAATAGTCTCACATGTTCATAATTTTCAACCTGAGAATTGATCCTGTTGAAATCTGGTCTGGATTAAGTGGGGAAATGTAGGGTCAAACATGAGTTGGGATGCAAACTTGGGCCTTATTGATCAAATGTATCTTGCATTACCAGAAAATTTTCCACTACATTGTTTGTCATAATCATAGAATGAAAATACTGTGTTAAATACGTTTCTATTGTCCTGAAACATCTTCACTATCTCCTGCTTTGGAAAATCTCAACACTTATTTTCTACACAGGTCTGTTCCATGCTGTTATACCTCAGAATTGATTTGAAACAAATTGAAACCCATAGAAAAGCAGATGAAGTGAAATACAAATGCTAAAGTTCACAGTTTTTCAGTGGCCACTGTAGAAACTGTATGACCATTTCAAGATATTTCATAAGCTATGCACTTCACAGACCTCCTGTCAGGGTCAGCTGGAGGCAATAGGAAACTCAGCATAGTTATTTTCAGCTGACTATCAGAGCTAAGAAGACATTATTAAATATCTACTCACTTATCTAGATGAAATTTATCTATACCTCAATTTCAAATATTATATAAAAGAAGAAACATTTAATCATTAACAAATACTGTGGCTACAAAAAAATAGTGAGTAAGAAAAACATTACATTTATGAATTATAAGGATATGTATGAGGCTATAGACAACTTTAACATCATTGCTAATATATATTAATATATGATTCAATTAATATTGATAATTACATTTATCTTTGTAAAGTACGCTGTTCTGTTTTATATAGCAACATCTTGTGCTGCACAGACTCACAAGAACCTCAGGGACATGATACTGCAGTCACATTGTCATCTTCTGAGATCTGAGTCATTTTCATTAGGAGTGCGTATTAACTATCAATATTAATGTAAAATATTTCAAATTATAGTCTCAAATTTCACAATATTTTCCAGCTTAGGATTTATATCACTGACATAAGAATCTTATTAAACTTTAAGTCCACTAAATCAGTATGTGTTCACAACGTGCACCAAAAAAAACAAAACACACAACACGTGTCAAGAACATGCTTCAGTCATATTTTATTACTCTGGGCACAAAATTGGCAGAAAATGCACACACTGTTTGCTTGAAGATCTTTATGTGTTCACACAGTAATATCACTTATCACCGTGAGTCTGACTTTATGCATTAGGTCGCTGGTGATGTTCATGCTTGTTTACATGTTTAATCATGGGTATGAAAGAGCCACAAACACGGATTAATCCACTTCCTCGATGGTTGGTCCAGTGGATCCACCGCCACTAGGAGCGCCACCAGCTCCAGGGAAGCTGCCTGGCATTCCACTGGGCATCCCACCTGGCATGTCACCAGCACTGTGGTACAGCTTGGTGATGATGGGGTTACACTCTTTCTCCAGCTCCTGTTGCTGATGTTCATATTCATCCTTTTCTGCAGTCTGGCACACAAAAATCAAACCACATATTCTCATATTCAGTAGGAATTACTTGACAGGTTAAATGTTTAGTTCAGTCTGAGCTCTGCAGTTGTTAAAACAGAGATGAGGATAATGTAACCCTACACCACACTAGTGGTAACACATGGAATCACTATTCTCTGGTGACATGCATAAAATATCAGTGGTTTAGCAGATGTATATTCCTACAAGATTCTAGACACACTGAAATTTGGAATTACAATTCAATCTGTGCAGCCTATGTCCTGGTAAATAATCTTGTTGATGTTGAAAACATCTGAGTGGATAAAAAAACTGATATTCATGTTCGTAATCCAAATTCTATCTTGCTTTCACTGATCAACACCAATCCTCACCTGGTTCTTGTCAAGCCAGCTGATGACCTCATTGCACTTGTCCAAGATCTTCTGCTTGTCATCATCACCGATCTTGCCAGCAAGCTTCTCATCCTCCACAGTTGACTTCATGTTGAAAGCATACGACTCCAGGCCGTTCTTAGCAGACACCTTGTCACGCTGAACGTCATCCTCTGCCTTGTACTTCTCAGCTTCCTGGACCATGCGTTCAATGTCCTCCTTGCTCAGACGACCTGTCAAAAGAGGCAAGATTAGCATTTAATCACCTGCTGTTTGGACAACACTGCAGCTATATTTGGGTTAAGCCGCAGTTTTATCCTTTTTATACCCTTGTCGTTGGTGATGGTGATCTTGTTCTCCTTTCCAGTGCTCTTGTCGACAGCAGAGACATTCATAATGCCATTGGCATCAATATCGAATGTCACCTCGATCTGGGGAACACCACGAGGAGCAGGAGGGATGCCTGTAAGCTCAAATTTGCCCAGCAGGTTGTTGTCCCTGGTCATAGCGCGCTCACCCTCATAAACCTGTTGGAAGTATGCAGGGTTGGCAGACCATTATTAAATTATATGTCTATAGTTCTGGCAACTTTATATTGCTCAGACATCCAAGGGAGGTCTGGGCCATCATTGGTTTTTTGATCTCTGGTGGAAACTACAAATGGCAACAATAAATGTCACTGTGAAACAATGAGACAGGCATGATGTGCCTACCTGGATGAGCACACCAGGCTGGTTGTCAGAGTAGGTGGTGAAGGTCTGGGTCTGCTTGGTAGGAATGGTGGTGTTACGTTTGATCAAGACAGTCATGACACCTCCAGCTGTCTCAATACCCAGGGACAGAGGGGTGACATCCAGAAGCAGCAGGTCCTGCACATTTTCTGACTTGTCACCGCACAGAATAGCAGCCTGGACAGCTGTAAATAAGGCTAACTGGTTAGATTTTGATAGGGAAAGACAGTAGACATTTTTTTATTAAACATTCAATAAAAATATTGCTCAGTTGAAAACTACGTCTCAAGTTATAATTTGGTGGATCCGCTTGGTAAAGAAGCTTGACATGTACCAGCTCCATAGGCCACAGCTTCATCTGGATTGATACTCCTGTTGAGCTCCTTTCCATTGAAGAAGTCCTGGAGCAACTTCTGGATCTTGGGGATACGGGTGGAGCCACCAACCAACACAATGTCATGAATCTGGGACTTGTCCATTTTGGCATCACGGAGTGACTTCTCCACGGGGTCCAAAGTGCCACGGAAGAGGTCTCCATTGAGCTCCTCAAAACGAGCCCTGGTGATGGAGGTGTAGAAGTCAACTCCCTCATACAGAGAGTCAATTTCAATGCTGGCCTGGGTGCTGGAAGACAGTGTGCGCTTTGCCCTCTCACAAGCGGTGCGCAGACGACGGACAGCTCTCTTATTGTCACTGATGTCCTTCTTGTACTTGCGTTTGAACTCAGCGATGAAATGGTTGACCATGCGGTTGTCGAAATCTTCCCCGCCAAGATGAGTGTCTCCAGCAGTAGACTTGACCTCAAAGATACCATCCTCGATGGTCAAGATGGACACGTCAAAAGTGCCACCACCAAGATCAAAGATGAGAACGTTCCTCTCTGACCCAACCTGGAGAAAAAGATAAATATGAGCACAACTCTGCCGGTGTAGGTGGACATAAATCATAGTACATGACCTATATCTCACCTTCTCATCCAAACCATAAGCGATAGCTGCTGCAGTGGGTTCATTAATGATTCTCAACACATTTAGACCAGATATGGTTCCAGCATCCTTGGTTGCTTGACGTTGAGAGTCATTAAAGTATGCAGGTACTGTGATAACAGCATTTGACACAGACTGAAGAAATTAAGAGATAAGTTTTAAGCAATATTGTGACAGTACTTAAGATCATTGCTTAACATGTTATTATTGTGTAAACTCACCACCCCAAGGTAGGCCTCAGCAATCTCCTTCATTTTTGTCAGCACCATGGAAGAGATCTCTTCTGGGTAGAAGCTTTTGGTTTCGCCTTTGTATTCAACCTCCACTTTGGGGCGACCACTATCACTGATAATATTAAATGGCCAATGCTTCATGTCAGACTGAACTACTGGATCCTCAAATCGTCTGCCAATCAAACGTTTAGCATCTGCAATCCCCAGGAAAAATTGAAATAAAACTGGGTCACTTAGGACCATTAGACATTATGTCAGTCTTGTATCATTCTTGCCTCAAGTTCAGAGGAAAAACTTTGTCCATTGATAGAGGTGCCATTCACTTTATAATAAGCTGGTTGGGTTGGACTGAACTTTGAGGTTCTTCCCTCAGCAGTTGAGAGTGACAAGAATGACACAAGACCACAAGCTCATTATTGTTCAATACTAAAAACAACTTTATTCTTACCAAAGACTGTGTTGGTGGGGTTCATGGCAACCTGATTCTTGGCTGCATCTCCAATTAGCCTCTCAGTATCTGTGAAGGCCACGTAGCTGGGTGTGGTCCTGTTACCCTGGTCATTGGCAATGATTTCAACTTTGCCATGCTGGAACACACCAACACAGGAGTAGGTGGTCCCAAGATCGATACCAACTGCTGCCCCTTTGGACATGATTGCTGTGAGAAAGTAAAACAATTCATAGTTAATGTAATTCCAGCAGAGGGCAATATCACTCACTGAGTATAGGGTTTAGTCATATCTATTACAAGTGCGAATACTGTGATAACACGAATAAAGACACAATCTTTATCAATGTAAGAAAGTAATTTGTGTTCCATATATTCCATATGTGATGGAAACAAAATATACCTAATTCAACATTACCCATACAGAAATGTAATATATGACATATATGTCCCTATATCAAGAGTGATGTTGCCATATATGTCACCTGTCACTGCTTTTATACGTTTTTCTTATTAATAGCTCATTAATTTTGACCTAGCTTTAAAAACAAGCTGAAAACTGTTCTGTTCTCCTCTGCTTTCATCTAAATTTTAATCTTGCACTTTGCCTATTTATGATCTGTGTTTTTATATTGTTTTTATACTGTTTTCTTATTGTGCTTTTTACTTCTATTTGTATGCTTCTTTTATATTGTTAAGCACATGGCCTCTGCATATGATAATGTGCTATACAAATAAATGTGCCTTACCTTGCCTTGCCTTGCTTTGCCTTGTGTATCTTTCCATTCTAAGAAAGTGGTCTCAGACTTTTGGTCTCTACTGTTTATAATACTGATAGGCTTTGGGATGGATATATTTTCATAACATATGTCTACAGTATAAGCAAACATACATATTTGTATGGGCTAGACATATTTGTATGTCAATATATACAATTGTTCCAATTTCTAATAGGTTTCATATAATTTTTACATATGTGCTCATATATAGAAATTCAATATATGTGCATATATTACATTTGTGTATGGGTACTTTAACAGCCTCTGTAACCTTTCAGGTGAGGGATACTGTAAACTGTTATGCAATAGCTTGGTATTTGCCATGGATCAGATGTTAGTGGAAGGCAGCCATCTTAGGAGGTGGAAACACAATATACTCAGAACTGAAGAAGTATAGAGTGGCTCTGGGCAACTGGTTAAAAAGGCTGTTTTGTGTTTAGGCGCACAGCACATCGTGGGATCTACGTTTGTTTGCATCTGAGTTTTTAAAGTGTGGGATTGTGCGGCAGACAGGACCAGGACCAGGACCAAAGTGCATTCAGCAGCATAAAGCTGGAGCTCTATTCAAACTGCTGATCTCTGGATCATCTGGGAGGGACAGGCACTCACATCTCCTCCCCCCACTGCTTGTAACTGTAGGACGAAGTTGCCCTGCTGCAGTATCCAGCTGGTCCTGCATCTGTGTGCCAAGTTTTATGGATTGGTAATAAGACTATTCTCAGACTAACGCCATAGTAGCATATTAACACCTTAAATAACAAATGTTCGACTTTTTTTAATTCAATATTTCTGTGTTAAGATTATATCACAGGAATAAAGCAAATGAAATAATATGAAATAAACTTAATCACCCTATATGTGTCTTAATGAATGTTATAAATATGTTATTGTGACAGAAAGAAAGATAAACATGAATATTCTCACTATAAACTTAGTACCACAGACATGTGATAGAATGTACTGTTGGTGATATTTGGCATAACTGCACATATTAGGTGTGACCATGCATAAGCATAATCCTGTTGAAAGACATTCCTGTCCTACCTGGCTGATGTTGTGGCCTCGGACTGCTGCAGTCTGTCTCTCCTCCAGCAGATGAACACAAGCAGCTGTTGTCGGCCTCACTTCTCCTGTACAAGCTTCCTAGTGGTCTGTGAGCCAATCAGCTTGCAGAACAACAGTGAGCTTCCAGTACATTCTGGCTCAGTCTTCACGTTCCCTTTGAGTCTTATTCATCTGATTGGCTAAAATCTGGACAGCTGTAGCCTAAAAAAAGTCCCTGAATAAAGGGAGATGAAATAGCAGAAAGAATAAAGCAGAAGAAAGTTTCAGGGTTTTCTTCAAGGACTGGTGTAGTTGTAGTGAAGAAATAGAGGCACCAATCTCTTCAAGAGAGAAAATGATTATCTAACTACCAGTGTTTGCTTGAAAAATTGATGAATACATCGCTGCTTCTAATCAAATTAACAAATTTAACAGTAATGCAGTTTAAATACTAAACTATACTGTATGAGCATCATCATTAGGCAAACTAACCAATATACTATAAACAGTAATTAGTCAAATTGTCTCAGAATCATATTTACTACATCCTGCTATAGATCACATCACATGTATGCAAAAGTGGCTAAGCTTTATTCTATAAATAAAGAAATGAAAAATTGAATTTAGGTGAATTTATCTTCCAGTTGCAAAACACACTAATGTTTATTCTGAAGCGCAGTCATCCTTACACCTACAGTATTGTTAAAATACGTGTCACATGTCACATAATGATTCTCTAAAGTAATTCTGTCATTTTCTCTTACCAGTTACATATTCAGCCTGAAAGTGAACAGCTGCATAGGTTATATGACAATACCAAAGGACAGACGATAGATGGAGTTTTCAAGGTTTACTTCCATGTTACAGTATGTAGCCAATACAAGGTAAAACTTTAATGTAACATTTGTACAGAGAGATTAAAAATTGGAAATGACAGAGCCTGCTGTTATGTCCCATAGTCCAGCAGTGGAAAATGACAGTGGTGGTGAATGATTTTTGTCATGAAAATTGTTAATTACAGACACTGAATATTGAACTATTAAATTATCTTTTTCATTAAATCACTAAAAATGATTGTTGGGTGGTATAAATAGAACATTCAGTGGGATGAAATACTTAATTCTTTGAAACAGGAATTTATATGTGTATGAATCCTGATCTATTAAACTTTTGCTTCTACTTTTACTGGAGGTATTTTGTGAGAAAACCTTAAACTGAAAACTCTGTGGAAACCACAGAGCTGTGATGTCATGGAAGGTCCCTCAGTAGAGTATAAGTAGATCAAGTAATGAGGAAATGCAACAGTACGAAACTGTGATTGCTACTGAGCGACAGAGATGGAACTAAAGCTGCAATTCATCGTCTCTGTGCTACTTATACAGGGTGAGTCATTTACTTTCAATGCTTGTTGACCAGCATACGTTAAAATGAAAAGTAGTAAATGCTGAAATCTGAAAACTGACCTTTTAAAAACGGCAGATGAACTCACTGGAAGTGATGATTTGGCTTCTGAATTCTTCACATATGGCAGTTACAATCATCATCTTTCTATGATAGTGTGTGATATTTTAAATTTTGGTGGTTACTGGTAAATAGAAATTGTGAAACTTCTGACAAATCAAATGGTTGCATGTATCAACAGTAAAAGCATGGTTATCTGAGCTCAGGCTCTCTAAGACATAATATTTGTAAACTTCATCTGTAAAGATTTTGATTTAGTCATTAGTAGCCAACCTATGGCTCTCATTCAGTGTTCTCTTGTATCATTTTATTATATTTTATGCCCCATTCTAGTACAATATGTGTCTATGTGTGCATGTTTATATATGGATATATATCACATATCACCATCCTTTTATGTGATGCTTATATTTTACATTGTATTGTCTGTGGAATGAAATGTTCTTCATAAATCAGGCTGTTAAAAATGAAAAAGAAATCTAAAACTCATTGACTAGAATCTAGAGAAAACTTTTAAAATCATGTGGCTGTACATTAAAGATTATGTATAAATATATGTAATTTTCACTCATTTTTTTCTAATGTTCAGTTAAGATACTGTAATTTCTAACACACCACCTAAGTGGGTGATAAAAGTCTAGATGACCTCAGATTCTTCAAGCCCACTGCCCTTGTGGCTGGTGTCAGCATGCCCCCACAAATGTGTTTTCCAAACACCTTGTCATAGGAAAGAAAAAGCATCTGAAGCCCCTGTGAACAACCCACAACAATTTTTTTTTCCCTCAGCATGAAAAGACTGACCACATCACTTCCTGTCATAACAGAAATACATTAGATGTAGAACGGGGGTGGGGGGTGGGGGTGGGTATTTGTTGCGGGGGGCTGGTTCTTTTGCAGCTGCAATACAGTGAAGAACAGGTCACACCACCTCCACACACACACAAACACACATATGCACATACATTCACACTGAAAAACACACACACACAGTCCCAGGCCAGAGAGAAATAGATGAGTCAAACTGTGAGAAACAGGATCAGGGTCCAGACACCTCTGTGTGCGGGGGAAAGAAACTTTCACTGCTCTTCACTTGCTTTTTTAAATCCAGCAGACTGTTGTTCATTATTTTATGAAATTTTACATGTATTATCAAACTGTGATGGTGTGAAAATTACTCTGCGCTGTCACTGTAAATTTTCAAGAACATGTTCCCTGTTTATTTAATTACAGTTTCTCTTGCGCAATGGCAGCGTTTGACTGTGAAGAAAGGTCAGACACTCAACTTAAGCTGTCCACTTACTAATGCTCACAAGACCAATGTGGACTGGAAAAACCCACATGGATTCCTTATGTTCTTCAATCACAATAAAGGTGAGCAAATCCTGAGCTCCAATCACAGCAAGAAATGTATTAGCAATATAAACTAGCTGCTGTTTGGGCCAAAATTGCAAGAATCTCTCAGAATTTTGCATTAAAGATATTAAACATCTTTTTATTTTCTCTCACTTGTTTCCAGCTTTGAAGGACAAGCGCTACAGAATCAACAAACTGTCTGTCTCAGAATTTGCCATCAGTATTTCCAATGTCACCTTCAAGGATGGAGGGAACTACACATGCTCTCAGTATGGCCACCACACAACAGAGAAGCAAGTGGAGGTGACAGTGTTGGGTGAGTATAATGTTACAATTACAGATTATATTATTGCTGAAGCCACCAAAGAAACAGTAGGACTTTGACAATAGTTTAGTAAATTTGCAACCTTAACCATGACTCACCATGGCTATTATATTGTTGGCTGGGTGAGCAGTTCAGTGCAATACGCTCTAATAACATCGGCTGTTGATTCTTTTAAAGGTCTTCCCAAAATGACAGTAACAAGGCATGAAGGAATGTTTATCATAAAATGCACTGCTGAGGCGAACCACCATCCGTCCCAGATCTCCTGGAAACTTGACCATGGGCCTGAAATTCTTGGTATGTTGTTAATAACTTAAATTGTGAGCTCACAATAAATAGAAAAATGACTACATTGCAATTAAGAAGTGAACCAAAGTGGACCATAGAAGGTAACACAACATGATCACCTGCCAGCTTTAGCTGCATATTTGTGGTGCTGCAGCTTGTGCATTGTTATTCTGAGGGGTCTGCACTCTGCTGTGCTTCGACATTTTTTCCATGTAGCACTGTGAATAGCACAACTGTTGCGAGATAAGAAACGGACAGTGTGACCCTTTATATTTCATTTTATCAAATATTTTTGTTTATAATTTGATGCACATATATGAACAGAAATAGCAGGTGTACTTGAACACTTTATACTGGTCACTGCACTTTTGTAGTTGTAGCAAAAGTAGACTCAGCATCCACAGAGTGGGCTCATCTCTTGATGACACTACCTACCGGTAACATGAATCATTGGTGGGGTGGCAGATGTTATTTCAAGCCCTGATAAATTAAATATAAATTCCTTTTTAAATGTGCTTTAATGGTATAACTTCATACTCTTACAAACATGTAAACCTATTCCTATTCATCTTTTTTGTTTCATTTTGAATGCCATAGGTGAGTAATTAAAGCTCTTTGGAAAGTATAAGCCTTTATTTTGATCATAGGTCCCAACCATGTCATATTAAGATGGATTTGTGAGGTGGATTGGTATACCTGCTTATCAGTGAGTACTAATGATAACTGTCCATTCCACAGCAAATGCCCAGATCCATCATGAAGATAAAAAATACATCACTACAGATATGTTACATGTTCAGTCAGTGGAGAACAGAGTCACTGTGAAATGCCTTGTTCGCCATCCAGCCCTGCTCTCACATCCTCTGATGAACTTTGTCAAAATTGGACGCGACAGTGAGTATAAACAGAAACTTACCTGCTCCTATTTTAGCGACTATAACTTTAGAGAAGCATATTGTATCGACAGTCTATTTCAAATATTCACAACCAGAGAAAATGATTAGTCTGAATGAATAATAATACTAAATGAATGAGATTTGTTTACTTTAAAGTACTTCTGCATAAAGAGAGATATTGCGGAACAGTAAAAGAGTAGTTGTGTCGTCACAAAACAGGGAAAGCACTGGTGAGGGTTTTTTCTCATGTGAATCTCCATGACACTGTCCACATCACTAGACTGTGAAAGTTGACCGACCCCAGAAAACAACCCCATGTCATTTCCTCTTTCTGTGTGTTGTAAATAGTCTGGTTTCCTGTATTCTTATTGAAAAAAACAGATGTGTTCTTTACAGATTATAATGTCAGCATGACTTTTCACTTGATTTTCCTTGAATTAATTTGAATGCTGTTTCTGCTTATTAATTATGTAAACCTTGTCTCTGTGACAGCAGCAAAATTCCACCGCACAACTACGACCAGTTCGCCCACAACTCAGCCTCAAGTGTCAAAAGGGGTGCTGGGAACAACAACCAGCTGGTTCAGACATGGCAGAACGACAGTGTACCTCACAACCAGAGGTGTGAATGGGGCTTCACCAGAGAGCTCTACCAAGTTATCAGCTGTTCCCTCCAATCACCCTTTTTCCTCCAATGAGCCAAAGACAGTTACAGCCTCCACTAGGTTTCCTGTGGACCCTGTTACATCCACAAACTCACATCTCAGTGCTAGTGGTGAGTGAGACTGTTTTCATTTGTATATTGTATATTTAAGTGAAGAATATTCCATATCAGATGACATATGCAGAGATGTGAGGAACACAAAGGAAACACCCACGAAGAAACAGTATAAAAAAGTTCTTTTCATGTCATGTGACAAAATAAATGTCACATCTGTTCAAATTGTATTGAATTTATTAAGATGTACAGTACTGAAAAAATGAAAGTAGCCTCTACACTGTGAGTAATGCCGTGGATAAATTAACCTTAAAAGGGTCTAACTCATCCTACAGCCGTTATTTATTGCTTTAAATGTATAGCACCTTTCACAAACTGTCGGCCTGTGGGATGGAAACTACAGATATCTCTTTCACAGTGTTTTTTCATTGGTTGCTTAACCCCCACTGCAGTTGTGATACCACTAAGTTCCTGTGACGGAAGTCTAAGACTGTAGTGTGACATTCAGTTGCAGTAGATGTATTAATATATTCTGAAGATGGAACTGCGAGTCTCTGTGTAGGTGATGAGCTTTTCTGTAATACATACAGAGCATTAGCAAAGATTTCATATCCCAGCTCAAAAAAACAGTTTGTGTTTTCTTAAATATTTGAACCCAAAGAACAGTTTGTTAGAGATAAACCGATTTTGATAGAAAAAATTACACAGGACTCTACAGCTCCCAACTTCTGAAATGACATTCAGTTATTCATCTGCTTGGCTTAATGCAAAACAGAAACTATTTTCTTCAAAAGAAAATCCTTTTCTGCCTCCTATTTTTTCTTGAGGTTTATTTATTAAAATGTGTTTATTTGTGCTCAATAAGGGTGGGGAGTAACACCATTAGTAATGCTCAAGCTCAACAGTGTAATTTAGTGTACAAATATCCAGTGTATTGTAAGGTCATATATTAAAATTATAAATGTATTATAATACATATATATAAAATTATATTTGACTACTGTGATGCCATCTAGTGGTAATTCTGAACAACTACAACTGGGTTGTTCGCATTTAGAAAACAGGGTTGACTGAGGCTGCAGCAGCTTATTTAAGTCTGTTTTAATTATTCTGTCTTCCTTCTTCATTATTGCTTAAAGGCTGGACATCTGTGTCTGAGACAATAGAGGAGATCATATCCAGTAACAGTACGGAGAGAAACAGAACAGGTAATTACACACTGTTAACAGCACTGGTGTCTGCATGTTTAACACTAACATTCAGTGCCTCTGATGGGAAACTGAATATGAGAAAACTTTCTTCTCTCATACAAATAGTAAACATATGTAATAGGTTTTAAATGTGATTAAGGTTTTGGTGAACAACTACCAACATTCTGTCCAATTCCAGGGACCATTAATGACACAAGGATGCAGACAGAGGTTGAAGAAAGTTCATCATTACTCATCTTCCTGGTGACATGCCTGATCTTCGGTCTTCTGGTGGTGGTCATTTTTTTTGCCATCAAGCTGAGGAGAGCACACATCACCTGGAAGAGAGGTAAGCAGATCATATTCCCTGTTTCTGTAATCACACCAACAATATCAGACTGAAGCTACTGTTAATTTGAACTTTAGTCAGGGCAGGGCCATAAATGTATGAGGCAAGTCCTTTGTCCCAGTTTTATTCTAGCTTCTGCTTTGTGTGTGTCCAGAAATATTAATAAAATATAATCTAATATAAATTATACTTATTGTGGGCATGTAGTTACACCATAAAGCCTTGCAATTTTCTTTTGAAATGTAATTTTAAGAAATATATGATAGTTTTTATTGTCACAGAGAATGAAGAATCGGATCCATCAGAGGAGAGCAGTAAGTCAAAATCTAGCCAGGAGGAGAGGAACTCCCAAGGACAGAGACGAAGAGGTACTCAGCACTATGTTTAAAACTTCTGAACAGAAATGCAGAAATTTGTGCTGGCAGAGACTGTAACTGCAAAGATTTGAATTCCTCCTGCTCCAATTACATGTGTTGTGAATTAAAATATGGGTAATTTACAGAAATCTTGTGCTGGTTTGAAAATGAATGTGATAATTAGCTCTTAAAACATGACTAGGTGGAGAGTGTTTACTCACTGCTGGGAAAAGACATGTTCTTTACTTGCCACTCTAGGAATATAGGTCCCTTGTGCCCAGATTTACATATGCGAAAGCTGAATTAAGGAAACCAATCAGGAATTATAAGTCTTATCCAACATAATTCAATAACCTAAATTCAAACATTTAATTCTATTAAAAAAGCCTATATTATAAAACTTATAATTAACACACAGTAAAGTACAGTGGTGCCTTGGGGAATATGGGCTCTTTACTGTAGTATTTGAGTTGACATGTAATGACCTATCATTCATTTTCAAACCACTGCAAATAATTTCAAACCAGGCACTGAATTTAACATGACAAATTCAGCTTCATGTAGCTCAAACACAATCTCTGCTGACTCCTCAGAAACTGGGTTGGTGTATAAAGAAGTGACCTGTTTCCGCAATGAATCACTGATTGTGACATACTCTCTCTCTCTCTCTCTCAGGGCTCTTCAACATGGCATTCACAAAGTATGTTGTTGAAGAACCAACAGGGATAACTTCGGTGATAAACACAGGAGCAATGGCAGCATCAGAGAATGTAAATAAAGAGCAGACTTCTCAACCTCAAACTTCAGCCAAATGTGATATCAAGGAGACAGAGCTATAATAATCAGAAAAATTTATTATATATATATATATATATATATATATATATTGTATTTTTCATTAGCGTAATCTGTGAAGATGATTATGGTGGTAGATATTATATATAATATCTAGCTAATGAGTTTTTTACTGTACTTGTAAAAGAGTGTTTACACAGTAAGGAATGTGGTAACATTATTTATAACTGTACTGTAACATATAAATACTGTATACATTTTACATTAATCAATAAATTATATTTTGCTACAACATACTGTTTGAACATGGATGATGTTTGATGGAAATATTGTTTTTCCATATAATCTGTATCTTTGGTGACTTTTTTTCATACAGTGGTATCATGTGATGTGACATCCCAAGAATCATTCATAGAGATAACATATAGTGTAACATACTCTAGGGATTTATCAGATGTTGTGTCACACTAAAGGCCTATTAGCTACATATATTGAGACTGGGTATAAAAGCTATCCCTAATAAAATACAGTGGTTGAAAAAACACTAATCATAATGTCAGGAAATATTCACTACTAAGAAGGAGAAAACAATAATTTCTACATATTCTTTCCATTTTTTTCTTTCAGTTTTCAATAATCGGTCGCTACATCCTGTCCAACCACTCATGAGTTTTACTTTTGATTTCTCACCAATTCTCATAATAGATTAAGAGTATAAGCTATATAAATATAAAAAAATAAATGCATTTTATGGATATACAATCTCAGGATTGTTTCTCTAACTTAATAATCTCTATCTCATATCTTCGGGTTACTGTCTTGAGCCATGCGGTCATTCACAGTGATTATGAAATACAGATAATAAAACAGGAAGTAGGTTGGACCGTCAAAGCGTCAGCCAAGACCCATTGGTGGGACGTTGAGGAAAGGCTCAAGGACGAGACCTGTGATTGGCTGCTTTGCCGGTCATATATAAGGTTCAGCGATCCCTCTGTCTTCCTTTTCCTTCTCATACCGGCAAGGACAAGTCAACCTCGCCGCTGTCCATCCCAACACAACACCTACAGTCATCCACGGTTCAACAATTCGGTAAGTTATTCTTGAATAAATCTTAAATAACATACAGTCTAGTTAAACTTCCTTAATTCATTCCTGTCGAGGACGGCAGTAGCCTTGACATTTTGCTCATTCACTATCGCCTTTTTTTTTTCTTTTTTTTTTTTACAGAAAATATATTAATCATTAAATTACCGGTGCTGAACTTAAATTATTAACGATGCAGAGGATTATGATTCGTTTGCTTGCACTAGGGCTGTAGTCATGAGTTCAGTGGTTGCATTAGCTAACGTTAGCAACTTAGCCGAGCTGAGAGGGTGGGGGAAGGGACGTTCGAGAATGTTCTTGAACAGCTAGTGTCAAGGTAGTGTGAATGAACAGACTTCCGGTTGTTTTTCAGAACAAAACCTTTGTTCGTCGCCAAGCGCCTTAATTTCATTTACTGATGGGGTCTGTTGCAGTTTGGTCTGTTTTGTATGATTTTTAGCACATCCAGGGTAATGATTTTTACATTTTATTTGTTCGCCAATTTCCGGTGTGAAATCAGTCTTTGGGAAACTTGACTCGTCATTCTCACACGGCCGGAACTAGCGCTATGCTTCACAATGCGGATTTTTTCCCATAAGTTAATTAGCTCAATAAAGGCTTGTTTGCTAGTAAGTGTAGAAGTTTAAATGACTTTTAAATATAAATATATACATACATAAATTGACACAGCTAAGTTATGGCTGTTTGGCAAATAAATTACATAATCTAGACAGTGTCTTAAATATATGTTGAAATGCAGAAGAATTGTTTAGATCCACTATACAGTTTGAACTGTGCTAAATTGGTTAACATTACTGGACTTTATTTCTATTACCAATGGTGCCAAGGCTGTTGCTTAACTGTAGCTCTTAACAACTAACTCTTTGTTTGAACTTGTCACTACTGGGTGTTGGAACACTAGTTTTAAAACAAACTACTTCCCTATAGCTATAAAGCTACTTAACTTTTTTTTTTTCTTCATATTTAAGTATTAAATTGTTTTTCTCCTTCACTGTTGTGGACAGAAATCGTTTTGGCAGGTTCAGATTTTCAGATGTAATCCATGAGATTAACAAACTAATACTTCCTTTGCTTGTTTTTTTTGGGGTTTTTTTTTCTTAAAGGAAACATGTCTAAGGGACCAGCAGTTGGTATCGATCTTGGGACCACCTACTCCTGTGTTGGTGTGTTCCAGCATGGCAAAGTTGAAATCATTGCCAATGACCAGGGTAACAGGACCACACCCAGCTACGTGGCCTTCACAGATACTGAGAGGCTAATTGGAGATGCAGCCAAGAATCAGGTTGCCATGAACCCCACCAACACAGTTTTTGGTAAGAATAAAGTTGTTTGTTTTTTTATTTATTTATTTTTAGTATTGATCTATAATGAGCTTGTGGTCTTGGGTCATTCTTGTCTCTCTCATCTGCTGAGGGAAGAACCTCAAAATTCAATCCAACCATCTTATCACAAAGTGACTGGCACCTCTCTCAAAGGACAGTTTTTCCTGTGCACTTGAGGCAAGAATGATACAAGACTGACATAATGTCTAGTGGTCCTAAGTGACCCAAATGAAGAATTTATCACTGTGATGACGATTTTCCTGCCATTCGTAGTTTCCACCAGAGGTTGAAAAACCAAAGATGGCCCAAATCCTTCCTTGGATGTCTGAGTGATCTTCTTAATGGAAGCCCACATTGTAGCAGATTTCTTAACAGTATTAACAAACAAAATCTGTCTTTGCAGATGCCAAAAGACTGATTGGCCGCAGGTTTGACGACACAGTTGTGCAGTCAGATATGAAGCACTGGCCATTTAATGTCATCAATGACAACACTCGTCCCAAGGTTCAGGTTGAGTACAAGGGTGAGACCAAGTCCTTCTACCCAGAAGAGATCTCTTCCATGGTGCTGACAAAGATGAAGGAGATTGCTGAAGCCTACCTCGGAAAAGTACGTTATGTGGCACAGCTTTGAAAACAAAAGTACAAAACCTTCAAGCTTTGCTATGAATTCTAGTAATCTTTGACTTGTCATTTCTTTTCAGACTGTCAACAATGCTGTAATTACAGTGCCAGCCTACTTCAATGACTCCCAGCGCCAGGCCACTAAGGATGCTGGCACAATCTCTGGTCTCAACGTTTTGCGGATCATCAATGAACCAACTGCCGCTGCCATTGCCTACGGGTTGGACAAAAAGGTAAATCAAACTTGAAACAACTGCAATTATACTTGAATGATCTTCATTGTATATAAATATATGTAAATTTGGGTAGTTCATCATAATTTAGTAGCTTTGAAAAATGTTAACCCTAATTTTATTTCAGGTTGGGTCAGAGAGGAACGTCCTCATCTTTGATCTTGGTGGTGGCACTTTTGACGTGTCCATCTTGACCATCGAGGATGGTATCTTTGAGGTCAAGTCTACTGCTGGAGACACTCATCTTGGCGGGGAAGATTTCGACAACCGCATGGTCAACCATTTCATCGCCGAGTTCAAACGCAAGTACAAGAAGGACATCAGTGACAATAAGAGAGCTGTCCGCCGTCTGCGCACCGCTTGTGAGAGGGCAAAGCGCACACTGTCTTCCAGCACCCAGGCCAGCATTGAAATTGACTCTCTGTATGAGGGAGTTGACTTCTACACCTCCATCACCAGGGCTCGTTTTGAGGAGCTCAATGCAGACCTCTTCCGTGGCACTTTGGACCCCGTGGAGAAGTCACTCCGTGATGCCAAGATGGATAAAGGGCAGATTCATGACATTGTGTTGGTTGGTGGCTCCACCCGTATCCCCAAGATCCAGAAGTTGCTCCAGGACTTCTTCAATGGAAAGGAGCTCAACAGGAGTATCAATCCAGATGAAGCTGTGGCCTATGGAGCTGGTAAGTGCTGTCAGCCAAATGATGCACACATAATTTTATTCTTGTCTCCCAACTGCTCAGAGTTAGATCAACAAATCTTTAGTATCTGGCGATCACTTCTGCTTATGACCTAGACATGAGTTTCTAACTTGAAGTCTAACTGTTGCTTATTTTGTCTTAACAGCTGTCCAGGCTGCCATCCTGTCTGGTGACAAGTCAGAAAATGTGCAGGACCTGCTGCTTCTGGATGTCACCCCTCTGTCCCTGGGTATTGAGACAGCTGGAGGTGTCATGACTGTCTTGATCAAACGTAACACCACCATTCCTACCAAGCAGACCCAGACCTTCACCACCTACTCTGACAACCAGCCTGGTGTGCTCATCCAGGTAGGCACATCATGCCTGTCTCATTGTTTCACAGTGACATTTATTCTTGCCATTTGTAGTTTCCACCAGAGATTACAAGACCAATGATGGCCCAGACCTCCCTTGGATGTCTGAGCAATATAAAGTTGCCAGAACTATAGACATATAATTTAATAATGGTCTGCCAACCCTGCATACTTCCAACAGGTTTATGAGGGTGAGCGTGCTATGACCAGGGACAACAACCTGCTGGGCAAATTTGAGCTTACAGGCATCCCTCCTGCTCCTCGTGGTGTTCCCCAGATCGAGGTGACATTCGATATTGATGCCAATGGCATTATGAATGTCTCTGCTGTCGACAAGAGCACTGGAAAGGAGAACAAGATCACCATCACCAACGACAAGGGTATAAACAGGATACAAATTCAGCTTAACCCAAATATAGCTGCAGTGTTGTCCAAACAGCAGGTGATTAAATGCTAATCTTGCCTCTTTTGACAGGTCGTCTGAGCAAGGAGGACATTGAACGCATGGTCCAGGAAGCTGAGAAGTACAAGGCAGAGGATGACGTTCAGCGTGACAAGGTGTCTGCTAAGAATGGCCTGGAGTCGTATGCTTTCAACATGAAGTCAACTGTGGAGGATGAGAAGCTTGCTGGCAAGATCGGTGATGATGACAAGCAGAAGATCTTGGACAAGTGCAATGAGGTCATCAGCTGGCTTGACAAGAACCAGGTGAGGATTGGTGTTGATCAGTGAATGTGTGTGTGTGTATACACACACACTCTCACTCACACAGACACGCACACACTCACTCACTCACTCACATTTGTATGAACACTGAAATTTTCTTGTTTTGCAGACTGCCGAGAAGGATGAGTATGAGCATCAACAGAAGG